AATACTGTATTTGTTGGTTGACCTTATGTTTGTTATATTCAGTTTGATATTTCAACCATTGATTTGTATCCAATATTACCTCCATGTAAAATAGTCTGTGTGTGTGTGTATGTATGTATGTGTGTGTGTGTGTGTGTGTGTGCGCGCGCGCGCGTTTCCGCACATATTGTAGTCAGCATAACTTCATAACGCCTTTATGGATTATGATGATATTTTATATGTCGGTAAGATTTAGGAAGACGAATGTCACAGTTAAACATGGGCCTCCTGGTGGCCGACCTTGGTACTGCAGCAGAACTTCCGGTTTTTGTATATTTTGTCCTGAACATGCCATGGTCTTGATTTTTTGGTGACTGATAGCTTATTCTGTTAGAAATAAGTGGTGTAAGTTTGGTCCCTCTAGCAGCTTGTTCTGGAACTGCAGGTTAGTTTCTGGTAAAAACTTTAAAAGCCAATAAGTCTATATAGGAACAACGTATTTTTTCATCATTTTTGGTATGTAGGTAGCTGAGAAAGAGTTGTACATAATTAAATGCAAATTTAATTGAAATTGGACTTATTTCGCATAATTAATAAGGAAATTCTATGATTACAAATTAATGAATGTTTTATATAATGGCACTGTTATACATATAATCTATTTAATCTGTGGCAGGCGGAACATCAACAGATACCAATTATGCAAAGGATGACCTAATTTGCATAATTAATGTGAACATTTTGTGACTCCCTGTTGGTGAATGATAGGAATTGTATTCCTTGTGACCTGTGTAAGTTACACGGCGGTCGGTTGCTAGGCTAAAGTCGCATTACTAGGGAGGTATCGGGTTACAGAACGCGTTCGAACGTGGCCGCGCGGGAGTCCCGGGCCCGCCACCTTCCACAGTAAAATTTGAAAATAAACAAAAGTAATTGGAGAGTAAATACTCGTCAAAATAAAATGTAATAAGTGATTTTGTTTACCTCAAATGTTATTCTTGCACTGCATTTGCTCCACTTTGTGTACATTTCCTTCCAAATGAGATCAATTTCGGATTTCAAGAAGGGTTCACGAGAACCAAACAACTGATTTTAAGAGGCCCCGAAAATTAAAAATAAGGTTAGATTTTTGGATTTTTAGAAATATTACAGTAAATTTAAACTTTCTGTCTTAGGATTTTTTTATTTTTTAACTTAAAACTCGACTTACAATCAAAAGAAGAGCTAAAAACGCAGTGTTTTAACTTTAAATACCGATAATTCATAATCGCGGCCATATTTTAAAAATCCCTAAGACAGAAATCTGCGGAAATCGTTGCTCTTCCAAACAAGATCTCAATGAGGTAATTTGAACGATTTTTGGGAATGGTTAAAATACCATGTTTGCACGCGTGCTATGACACTTGGATATGGGGACCTGGATTTTATAACAGCGTCAACAAGAATTCTGACCTTCAAGGTCACCTACGATGACGGCAGTAGCTTCGTTACATGTTACATATCCACAATAAAATCACGGCATAGATGTAATGTTTTGAAAACGGTTCATATTTGTGGAAAGGTGGATTTTTCCTGTTCCGTGGTTCCCAAGTAAAAAAGGGCTTGAAGTAGCCGGTTGTAGCGGCTTTACTGTAAATGACCGCGGGTAACCCCAGATCGAACGCCCGCTCTATTCGAATGACGTCATATCGAACAAGATTCGCGGGTTCGGGGGATTCGATCTCCATAGTAGCGGACTGGGACTTTTGGGCCCAAATCTGACCATCGTGAATGAAGTTGCATCTTGATGTAGGTATACTTGACATTCAAAATATATTCTAACGGCTCACTTCTTTTCAGTTTGTTTCCTCCTTTTCCTCCTATACTGTAAACCACAACATACATTTGTACAATGTTTTGTATGTACCTGGTAGCTCAAGAGGCTATTATTACACAGTGGGAGAAAATTCAGCAGGATATATCTTCCGGGGCATATGTAATTGTTATCTTTCCAGCTATAATTTCTCTAACTTTTTTTAAATCTTTGAATAGCTTGTACTGAAATGGTAAATAAAATGCATAGCCCATATGTGTGGCCCTTCATTTCTATTATATAGTGTTTCTATGGTATATCTACATGTGTTTCAAACACACAATTCATAACAGGAGGAATAACATCAGGTTTTAAAATTTGATGCAGTCTTTTTCAGGTCAACAATATCTGCATTTTTTTCCTTCTGTCCTCTGCATTTCTGCAGTTTTCCCATCAACTTTCTCATGTACATATTTTTGCTTTCTTTCCCTTTATAGACAAGATGTAAACAGAATGTGGTCAGGCTAACCCAGTACTTTGTTTTGTCTCCACAGTAGTGATTCCCCTGACTCCACCTCCACTGATACCACCTCCCACCCCACCTCCTGTGATCCCAGTGGTGCCAGTAGAAACTGGTCCTGAGGCCAGGCCAGGCTGTAGGGATGACCAGTTCAGATGTAAAGAGAGCGGACAGTGCATTGATGTCATCTATGTCTGTGATGGTGACCCCGACTGCCGTGACTACTCTGATGAGGCAGAGTGTGGTCAGTAAAATTTTTAACTGTATTTTCAGTGGTACATGTGGGATACAAGAAACAGTATTCATCTGGTGCATCTGTACATTATTGAGCATTCCCCTGTAAATTTTTGCCATTTGTTATCATTGTGGTCAATGTGTACTATAAGATGTCTTTTGACATAACAATGGTGTATATGACATTCTCCAACCTGTATAAGACTAGGAGCTCAGGAGGACCGCATTATGCTCAGATTTGAGCCTAATAAGTATATTTATTGGCAGAGTACATAGAATTGCCATAGAATCGCTTTGTTCATTTATCTGAGAAGTACAATTGTAACACATTGTTTCACATGCTCACATTCGTATGCTCATATTTGAACAAATTGTGTGTTTTCCTCCCTGCACAGAGGACAGCATCATGCCCAGATGTGAGCCTAATGAGTTTGAATGTGCCAACGGGAAGTGTGCACAGAAGATCTGGACCTGCGATGGCGACAACGACTGCGGGGATAACAGTGATGAGAGCAACTGTCGTAAGTTGGACCACGATAAAACTAGCAACATATCAAGAGATAACAACTGCATCTTACAGTTTATACAGTTTAGTGTAAGGAAGAGGGCAGTCAAAGAATTTTTCTCAGCCCCAATCTTGTGTATAACACACAGTCTCTCTTTTTCTGAGTCACCCCTCACCTTTTTAAGATATAGACCCCCAAAATTCTTGGCCCTCTTTATTATACATGTATATGTATATAGATGGAGTAACTGCTTGTTGCAATTGTCTTTTGGATCTCTCTGGATATTATTAATATTATATATGCAACTATCTTCAACTGTATGTTTCTATCTCTTCCTGTACGTGTGTTGTCCTGTCATTATTGACTTCCTTCTTCTTATAACAGTTGAGTTCAAAGTGACCATGTCACAGCAGTAACTGTTGATGTTTTTGACAGTGTTTGGTCATAATTTTGAACTTTGGGATGATTTCAATGTCATACTCCAATGTCATTTTCTGTTTGACTCTCTTATAATACTTACATCTGTTGTCTCATCCCATCTCTCCTACCCTGTTTCTTGTTGTATTCTGTATTCCTCAATCCATCCAGCTATTGGTAAGTCATTACAACGTCTGGGAACAATCTGTTTGTCTCTTTGGGTTGTTTCATTTGATTAATGCAGTCGACAATCTCCAATCTTCCATATTATTGGGGTTGTTTTGTGTGACATACATGAATGTACCTGACACTTCCAAAAACCTGTCCTTTCTGTCCTTTGCTGTACTCCCTTTATATAAAACTGTAGAAACAGTCCTAAAAGTTGTCATGTTTCCTTCCACAGCCACTGCTCCCCCTGGTTCCCAGTGTCGCGGTGATGAGTTCACGTGTTTGTCGGGGGATCAGTGCATCCCTCAGTCCTATCAGTGTGATGAGGAGATTGACTGCAGAGATCGCTCAGACGAAATTGGATGCTGTGAGTACAACATAACCTGAAAGAATGTCTATCTTGTCTTAGAGAGGTATATGAATATTCAAGAGAAAGTCAACTACTTGTATATGTACATGTACTTGAACCCAGGAAACAGTTCTAGTTAGTGACCAAAATGTCACCATGAAGAAATGAAGCAAAGAGAGCTCATTGAAGTGCTAAGTAGAGTAATTAGTATCTAATCTACGAGTTTGATAATTTGTTGTGCATCTCTCTGATGTATGTGTGATCAACTGCTCTGCAGCCAACCGATGATGATGATTTGCAACACTCCTGTACCCCTATACTATCATCTGAGCCAGATATTTTTTCAGGCTCTAAGATGATTTTTGACAGTGTTATTGAGCCCTGGTGGTTTCCCCCCAGCTTCCCCCAGTGTGCAGACCCCCCCAGCTGACCTGGTGCAGGCAGAGGAGGGGTCCACGGTGGTCCTGACATGTGAGGCCGTGGGAAACCCCACCCCCATCATCTCCTGGAGACTGAACTGGGGCCACGTGGGTCAGCCTCCCAGGGTCACGCAGGAGTACTCAGGGGGGAGGGGAACGCTCACCATCCGAGATGTAAGGAAGTCTGACCAAGGAGCGTACACCTGTGAGGCTATTAACAACAAGGGCAGTATCTTTGCTGTACCAGACGCAGTGTTGGCTATCAGAGGTAAACCTTTAAATTTCAGTGTAATTTCATCTACACATGTAGTTGCATAGTTGACCAAGTACAGTGTAGATTCTTTGCTTTTTTTTAATGAAGACTCTTATTGTACATGACATTTTTGTCCCACTTGAAATGCATGTGTTTACACTCACATTGAGCTAAGCATAGGTCAGAAAAATGTTTTTAATGTGTAAACTTATCTTTACAGAACCAGAGGGTGCCTGTAATTCACCGGGCACGTTTAATGCAGCTGCCGTCACGACGTCTGAGTGCCTGCAGTGTTTCTGCTTCGGTGTGTCCCAGAACTGCCGCAGCAGTGACTTCTACAGGTTCCAGGTACATCCCTCATTTCAGTACTGTTTTTTAGGTGTCATACATGTACATTGTAGATGAGGCTACATTGAATAAAGAGTCTCTTTTTACAGAACCATGCGTTTCAAACAGCGGACATTTTGGTGACCATCGGTCACATTCCTCAGGACATGTTCCTTAATGTAACATATCTACACAGTTACATAGAATGGTAACCAAAATGTCGGCTGAATAAAACACTAGGTTGCGTAAAAGGAGTCTCTTTATTCAGTGACTTACCAACCTGATGAAACTATTTATAAGGATGAGGCTACATTGAAATTTCTATGTAGGATTTTCAGAATGTTTCCTCCTGTGTTGTATTGCACTCGGGTATGGTCCATTGAGAAATTATTTTGTTGTACCCACTAGTTGACCGTCCCAGAGAACAGTGGCCTGACGATGGTGACCAGAGACAGGAGCCAGTCGGTGGATCGGGCGTACATCCGAGCCGTGCCTGCCCGTAACCAGTTCATGGTGGAGGACATGTCGTCTGTCCCATCTGGGGTGTACTACTGGAGCCTACCTACCAACTTCCTAGGAAATATTGTAAGTCGTTATGAGCTATAAAGAATTTCATTCGTTTGGAAAAACACCATTTGCACCATTTCTATCAATGATAGTGGAAAACATTTAAAACATACAAAAGAAACATACATTGGCAAAATAGAAGACTAGTGCCTAGAGCTTCTGGCCTAAATTGTGCTACAGTAGTACATTTGCAAACAAAAGTACCGGTAAGTAGTAAATAGCAAAAAAAATCATGATGATGTGGTTAATTTGTATGAAGATAATGCACAGATTTAATGATGTAGAATTGTGATAAAAAGAAAAGCCATTACTTTCAACATTTTGATACTGATCCTTTGAATTGTTACATAATACATGTAATTTGGATGCTCTTGAATGTTTTAAGGTCTATTGTAGTAAACATTCTTTATTCTTGCACATCCAGATTGCCAGCTATGGAGGAAAGCTGAGGTACACTGTGTACTACTCAGTCGGCACTGGAGACTTTGCCAGGTTTATTGATGCAGAAGACATCATCCTTATTGTGAGTAAATCAGATCGTTACCTCCTCTCTCTTTCATCTTTGTGGTCATGCATCTTAGCAAGAAGTAATCAAACCTGCAAGTTATTTGTACATGTATACTCTCAGCACCTGTTTTCAAAAGTTAATACTACACATGTACAGAATGTTCATGAACAATATTGCTGCATGGAAAGGAGTATGGCCTTTTATACTAAAAAATTATTTATACCTCATTTCTCAAAGATAACCTGCAGTAAGTATAGAAATTTCTATTTTACCTGTACATAATGTATGTAAAAATGTCACATAAGAAGCCAATAATTATTTGGAACCTGAATGAAAGTTGTTGTTGATTTTAATAAACAGGGAGGAGGAGCCATCCTTACCTACAGACACTATAACGAACCAGTCAACGAGCGGGAAGAAACTATTGAGGTTGAACTCAGAGAGGTAAGCAGGAATTTTAGTATACAAGAAGAAACTAAGCCAACTAATTATAAAGTCCACGTTACAGATAAAAATTACCATCTTGCTGCTTAGTTTAGAACAATGCTTGCCATAGTTATAATTTGTATAGTAGCAGGGAGAATGTTTAACTTAATTATTTTCTAAAGGCATGCAAATAATCATGTTCTTCACATCTGTAGAGCCTATGGACATCATCAGCCCTGTCAGCCAGCCTGTCCCGTGAAGACTTCATGATGATCCTACAGAATGTGGAGGCTATCCTCATCAAGGCTTCGTATAACTCATTCATGGTCACCACAAGGTATGGGCACCTTCCAGCATTACAGTAGCTTTTCTCTACTATGCTAGGGCTGGATAGCAACCTATGTTATACCCTAAAGAACTAGAACTCTAAATCCTTATTTGTCTTTTGATCCTAAAAGTTGAACTACAGGAAAGACAAGAAAATGTGAAACAAAATGCCTACATGTATAATTATACCTGTATCTCTACAGCATCCAGGGCATTGAGATGGACACAGCTGTTGAAGAGAACACAGGACTGTCCCGTGCTGTAATGGTGGAACAGTGCAGCTGTCCTGCTGGCTACACTGGGCTGTCCTGTGAGGTGAGAAGGCTGTAGGACATGGCTCTGGGAATTGTATTAAAATATAAATGTAGTATCAAGCTCTGAAATAAATACTTCTGCTGCCCTGTCAAGCCATAGAAACAAAGTATGTTTGGAACAATAAACCTCCAAAGGGAAGAAAAAGTACAGAAGTGTGATTCTGCTGAAATGATTGTTGGTATGTTAACTTTGTATGTAATGTTACAGACCTTAAGGTACACTGTCAGCTGTCCTGATATCTCCTTCCTTGTGTCCCACAGCGCTGTGACACCGGCTACATCCGGCAGAACAGCGGGCGTTTCCTGGGCTCCTGTGTGCCTGTGGGCGGGTCTGGTGCCTGTAACTGTAACGGACACTCCTCAGACTGTGACCAGCTTACAGGGGAGTGCAGGGTATGGTTTACAGCTGTACTTCGCCCTCAAATCAGCAACAGTTTTTTTTATTTCCAATATAAGCTAATGTACTCACCCATGGTGTAGCAATTGTACTGTAACACTAGTCCACATGTATGCAAGCTGGTTGATGCATACTAAAGGTTGAAACATTGCTGTAGCTGGATTTACATGACTATGCTTCATTTAATCTAACTTCTTTGTCTGCTGCCAAGATAAAGGACCTAGTATTTTATTAGATTTTACTAAAAGATCATTTTCTATGTGAGGCACAAAATACTCAGCAATCCTTGTAGTTATTCCATAATGTTGACATGTTTTACTATTATATGATATCATGAACTGACGATGTCTCTATTCCTGCAGAATTGTCAGCACAACACAGATGGACCCAACTGTGAACAGTGTAAGGCTGGTTACTATGGCGACCCACTGAGCGGCTTCCCCAATGCCTGTCAGCCCTGCCCATGTCCTCTGTCCACTCCCTCCAACCAGTGAGTAACAATAACTTCAAACTATAGTTGAAAAATGTTTAAAGCTCATGACAGGCTCATTTCTTTTGATAACCCAAGTTTTGTAGGTACAAAATATCCTTCAATATCATGATTATTATACAGTCATATTTATAGTATATAAGCATACAGGTTATTTTCTCATTTAGCAGTATTACTAAAATAGCTTTTTCTTTGGCACTTTTTATCCTGATATACATTTGGCTCACTCTTTGCTAAAAAAATTTCATGACAAATTAATAATTAAAAGTTTATACAAATTTATGCCTCCACTCAAAATTGTTTTCAATAATTGGTTCTATTCTCAGACCTGGTGTGGCAACTTGGTGTGAAACTTTTGCTGTATTTTTGTATTTGACCATTTAATCTCTATGTTGGCCAAAATAATCTTAAGATTTTTCTCCATAAAATTGAATACTATTGGAAGCTTTGATGTAGCGATGCTTACTTTTTTGTGATTGTACTTTTTGTTTGTTTGGTTTGATGAAAGGGTTGCCATTTTGTCTTTCATACCATTGTCCCCTGGAAGACAACATGGCAACCCTGTTGTGTTGTTAGGGTTCAGGAATGGCTGTTGTTTGATTATGAAAGCCTTTTTGATGAGGACAACGATATCATATACTACACAAGGTACCTACATACTGTAGGCACGTTTACGTAGACATCAGATGGCAATCCAGAATAGATCAGTGTAGAAACTTACTTGTAGGAAGTCCTCTCTACTAGTGCTCAGTAACAATTACTGTGTTTGTTTTGTGAGTATTCCAATACAGTAACCACCATAGAAGAGATCCATTCTTAAAGTCACATGAATCGTGGTCCATAGAAACTTAAGTCGCTTAATGTCACCTCTTTCTTAGCTGTCATTTTGAATTTCTGATATACACATGTATGTAAGGTTATGAAATATAAAACCACAATTTGGGAATTAGCATATCAAGCAAGATAGATGTATGAACTTAAAAAAAAAGTCTTACTTTACTGTATCAAACTTCCTGTATTTCTGTGCTGCCAAGGAGGAGGCCTGTGTCAGGTATACTCTTCTGTGTCAGAATTTTAGTGTATGCTAACTCATTTCTCCTGTGCCTATGGCACTTAACTGAATGAAATGTTCTAAAGCTTCTGTCTGGTTAAGGCAAGAATATAAGGATGAAAATTGTTACGCCAGCCCTGATCTATTACCTAATTCCCACCAACTGCAGTTACAACTGTGTTTAGATGTACATGTACGATGTTCATGATGTGTATTAAAACAACTGCATTTTAACATGTTATGTCAATAATAGTTTGTTTTAACACGAACAAAGAGTGTGGAACATTATAAGAATTTTGAATTTCCTGTGACAGATTCTCGCCCACCTGTTTCCTGGACTCAGACGGCCAGCCTACCTGTGATGCCTGCCCACCTGGCTATACAGGCAGGAGGTGTGAAAGGTGGGTGAAAAGCCATAGATGCGGCTTTATTGTTACATTGTTTTTTTTAATTATTCTTGGGCTCTTGTCTTGCTACATGGTCTGCAGCTTCTGTCAGTTGCAGTTCTAGCTGTGCAGTGCCTCTCATAGCTGGTACAGCCAATGCTAGCCCAACAGACTCAGCTGCAGAATCTTTAAATTATATATAGCTGCCAAACATCTTTTGCACAGATAAAGCAGTCATCCTCAAGTTTGGTGAAGCATGGTGTTTTTTCAAGTAGCTAGTCGTACAATGTGGCTTAGCTTTGGCTTGTGATTTCAGCTAAGCACACCAGGCCACTACTACTCTTCTTGATAGGTGTGTTGCTTATTTTTTACACAAAATGTTTATTATTCCATTATAGGTGTTCACCAGGGTACATAGGAAACCCCACCATTCCTGGAGACTATTGCAAGAGAGGTGAGGAGCTTTTCAAGTTTTGGAAATTTCTACTGTATATTATTGTTTAGAAGTTAACTTCTGTAGCTGTATCGCTGGTATAATCGCCATTCAGCGTAATACACCAGGTTAACACTACTTAACGAAGATGTAGTATTAACAGAACTTCTTTTGTCAGCACATCATAATTTACCAGTAAGTTTGCTTGGCTACATTCTGAAACCTTTTCCTTTTCTGTCCTTCCACAGATAACGTGGTTGGGCCGATCACTCCTGTTGTTGACCGCTGTGATGCCAGAGGGAGCATCTTGCCTGACCCTCTGGATGGACAGTGCCAGTGCAGGGTGGGTAATCTATGTATCTGCAGGCATGGCAGTACTACTACGAAACTGTTGGTGCTTGTTTAATACCTTTAGTGATTTAGTCTTGTGTAAGAAAAGAAACAATTTTCCTTAGGCTTATAAACCTAGATTGGCCACTTAAGAATGTAAAATCTTTGAATGGAGCTCTGTTCATCCCATGTTGTACATTTTTCTTCTAATTTCTGCAGGAGAATGTGCAGGGACCTGAGTGTGACGTGTGCAAGCCCAACACCTTCCACCTGTCAGATACCAACTCTGGCGGCTGCATCAGCTGCTTCTGCATGGGTGTCAGCCAGCAGTGCACCAGCACCTCCTGGGGACGCTTCCAGGTACTGCAGGATCTGGCTACTGACATCTGTGTTTACTATTTTAGGGTTTAATCACCTATAGATTTTGTGTGGTGACAATGCCTGGTTTAGAACTTTTTTTACCATACATGTACCTGTTGAGTTCTATCGAAGGATTTTAAAAATAGGAACATATTTTACAATTGCAGCCTTACAATGTGTAACTTTAAACCTACGCTTTCCTAGGTCCGAGCCAAATTTGAGACAGCATCCACCCAAGATTTCCAGCTGATGAACAAAGACCAGACGAGGATCGTTGACCAGGGCCTGACGGTGAACCCCGTCACACGGAGTCTGGTGTACCGACAGTTCCCACAGCTCCCACAGGACATCTACTATTGGCTGCTGCCTGAAAGTTTCCTTGGCAACAAGGTGAAATTCCCCTGTAGCTGCTTTTCTTGTTCATGTATATAATTACAATGTACACTGAATCTAGAGTTCACATTTGCAGAAGTAACTGTAAGTGGTATCAAAAATGTTTCATGTGTGTAGAACACATAGTTTCAGAGGAGCTTAAGATTCTGCTATTCTTTATCTTCTAAATCTGTTTTGTTCATGCGTTAAGATTTGTTCTTAGTGCATGAAAGACTGATTGCTGATCATACAAGTCATGCATGATAATCATTGTATAAACCTATTGTCAGGCTAAACTAGCTGATCTGTGGTTGTAATGGTGACCAGAGGTCATCACCATGGCAACATGAGTCATTTTCTTATGCTCTATGTCTTCTGTGTGTCTTCCCATTTTTCCCATCTTCACTTTTCCCACCTTTACTCCTGAATGAAGTAGATGGTAAGTCTTAAACCTGCAAACTTTCACATTTCTTGAACTTTTTGCTGGAAGTTCTTTGCTTCTTTCCTTCATCATTTCACCATACAGAGTGCTGCATTTCCTTCATTTTGCTGGGACGATTATCCTATGCTGTACATGCCTAATGGTTACATACATGTATTCATGCCTGTATTGCAAACATTGTTGAAGCTATGGTTTGGCTTTTCATTCCAACTTCATGTACGCCATAACGTTGACATTGAATAAATGACAATGTTACTTGGGACTTGCTTGATTGTATAAGCCTGAAATCCAGCCTTGTCACAAATGTAGCTATATGTCCGCTCCCAAAAATTCACTCCAGTGGACCTATAATTAACAAGGCTGGATTTCAGGTTAATATCAAATTTTATATCACATGAGAGAAATGTACAACTTACTGCAGTACAAACCCTACATATGTACAGGAAGTCATTCTCATTGTTTGCCCCCCTCCCACAGCTGACCTCCTATGGAGGTGTCCTCAGGTACACCCTGAGCTACCAGCCGGCTCCAGGTGCAGCACCTGTGGTGGACTTTGACGCGCAGCTGTCAGGAAACTCCATCCTGCTGACCTTCAGACACGAGCAGCAGGCTGTGGCCAACATCCCCAGACCTTTCATCATCACCTTCCAGGAGGTAGGAAGGTGTTCAGTGGTTTTGAATTAAATACAAATCAAATTTACAGCTATGAAGTATGGTGTCTAGTTAAATGACAGGTTTTGTGTGATGGCTATTCTGTCTTGAGGCAGGTAAAGGCAAGATGCATGAGGAGGTCAACATTTTTTTTAATGGTAGCTTTCTTTCTTGCAAAGAAACATGGCTGAATCTTCAAACTTATCCAGTTGCCTGAGTAACAATTTCCTTACCTGGATGTGTATCTCATGTCGAACCATCATCAACGCATGACTTAATCTTATCTTGTTGAAAACACAGCAATACTGGAGAAGACTGGATGGAGAGCCTGCCACCAGGGAACACATGTTGATGGCTCTGGCAAATGTTGACGCTTTGATGATCCGAGCTACCTATGCAACTGCCATGATGGAATCAAGGTAACACAGTTTGGTTTTATGAGTGTTCTTCACAGCAACTGATACTTAACACCCACATGTGCTGTTATCTTAATATATTTTGTGCTAACAAGATCACATAATGGTTAGAAGTACATGAAGAACTTGATTTGTTGAGAATGCAGCAAATACATCAAAATTACATGACTCATCTGACATCCTTGTTTTCTGCAGTATATCTGACGTGTCCTTGGACATAGCGGAGGACAGAGCGACTGGTCAGGGCCCGGCACTGCACGTGGAGCAGTGTGTGTGTCCACCGGGATATGCTGGACTGTCCTGTGAGGTGGGTGGTTCATAACATTTAATCAATATGCTGTTGTGATAGAACTGTCAATCAAACTCCTACAATGTTGTTGATGTGTACATTTTGGATAGGATAAAGAAAATGTCATAATAATTTAGATCAATGTCCATTTAATATGTGGAGGCCCGCATTGTTGACAAATGACTACAGTGGGGAAGATGATAATGATGATGATGAATATGACAAGATTAGTCTATGCAGAGGAAACAATTTGCAAAGTAAAGAATTTAGGCGTTAAAGAAATGAGTTACTTTGAAAATGATGTTACATCATTGATCTACCAATTCCTCTTCCTTCTTTCTGCAGGAGTGTGCACCAGGGTATGGCAGGAATGGAGAGGGGTTGTACCTGGGCATGTGTGTACCTGGGGGAGACAGTGGAACAGGTGGAACAGGCCCTGGAACAGGCCCTGGTGCAGAATGCAACTGCAACAACCATGCCTATGGTTGTGATGACAGTGGAATGTGCCAGGTAGAGAGGACATTATTTTTTTAAATTCTGCCAGTCTGAATTGTGCAAATTAAAGTAAACAGTAACTGTTGCTTGATGAGAGAGAATTTGTTAGGACTATTCTTTACAAGAAATTATAATCTGTTTGTGTGGCCTGATTTCCTACAGAATTGTCAGCACAACACGGAGGGACCAAACTGCGACCGTTGTCGGCCTGGGTTCTACGGTGACCCCACCAGGGGTAACGCAGATGACTGCCTGGAGTGTCCGTGCCCACTGTCCATCCCATCCAATCAGTGAGCTTCTCATTCTCTTATAAAGGTTTTCTGTACAGTAAAAGCGGATCATGTTGAGAACAAGACTATCAGAGATACAATTATGGTGGTAAAATGGTTTCTTGCAAGGGGATGCACTTGTATATAAAAGCATGAGTACAGAGTTGTTAATGATGTTCTGTTATAACTTCTGCAGGTTCTCTCCCACCTGCTTCCTGGACATTGATAGACAGCCCACCTGTGATGCCTGCCCACCTGGCTACACCGGCAGGAGGTGTGAAAGGTGAGCTAGAGTTTACAATATGTTAAGGGTGAAGATACTACAGTAACTGTTTTCTATAAAGGTTGCAGGGAAATGTAAGGGGAAAAGGTTTTTTTTTTTCGGAAAGCTAGCAGCTCACCAAGTGTTACCTTGTTACAGATGTGACTCAGGATACACAGGCAACCCCAGCATCCCTGGGGACTCATGCAGACCTGTGCAAGGTATGAGTTTACAGTCAGTTGGGTACCTTACAGAGCTCAAGTTTGTGGGCGTTCGGGGGGGGGTGGTAGGGTAGATGTTAAAGATTCCCTTCCAAGACGGAGACAGATATAACGTGAACACTACAACATGTACAATATCATATGGAAGGGATTTTTATTGCGACCTCCATGTTTGTTGCTTTCTGGAAAAAAACAAATGACTTACTGAATGAGACTGAAACCAGGACAGTTGTTTTTGTGTCTTGTTGCCCTGCTATGTCTCTTCTGTCAGACCTTTTGATGATGACATGACACAAGGGATTTTTCCCTTATTGACATTGAAGTCTCTTACCTCCTTGTAGCAATGACCCCTGTGAACCCTTCTCTGACAGATAACATGTAGAGACTAGAGGATGTATATCCCAGCTAGCAATCACTTACCTCCCTATTATCACTTGTAGATAGTGTTGTTTAGACAGTGAACTTTAGTGCCATATATACTTACATGTATTGGAACTTTAGACTTAGAGTTCTCCCTATATCCCTCCCCATGTCTTCCTTTTGACTTTGTGTAGAGAGATTTTGAAGGTACTGTTGACTGACTTGCCACTAACCTTTGACCTTGTAGTCAGGACCTGCAGTAGTCCTGTGCATTCAGTGCCTGACTGCACAAGGTTAATAACCCTTGTCTGTGTACTGTTTGATGTATGAAATATCCCAGGCGGTAACGGGCAGGGAAATGTCATCAAGGTTCCTTGGAACAAGTACGACGGTGGTGAGCACGCTTTCCCATAATGCAGCTGCTGTGTGCCGTCTGTCGCTGCCGCCTCACACGTATTTGTGCTCATGACATGGACGTGTGTCTGTCTTTTGTCCTTTCTGGGCATGACTGATTCTTTCACTTGGTTCTAAGGTTTCACTTTTCTGTCTTCTGCCAACATGCATCCAAAAATGTATGAAATGTTGGAGCCAAGTTATGAATAGTATGCCCAAGTGACATTGCCTCCATTTCGACCACATGTCCCTCGTGTACAGGGTATCTTGTTTGCCACATGTTCACATGGTGATTTTTAGTTTCAATTTTTTCTTTGGTTTCCATTTTCATTTCAGGCTGTAGTGTAGAACTCCATACTGGGTGAAGGGAAACATGTATAATATACGTATGGAAAACCTACTTTCATACATATTACTCTGTAGTGGGAAGTAAGGATTATGAACTATATATTTTGTACATGTACATAACCACATCTTATTTGATGGGGTCCTGCCTTTGCAAAGTTTGTACACTCGCTTCACCTCAGATTGCTCTGGCATCACCAGCACTGTAGAACAGTACCAGCTTTGCTGTATTTCATACCAGGAATGTCCCCAGAACCCATTTATCAGTATATAAAAAACAACAGTTAAATGGATGTGATAATTTTGGACTGAAAAGGACAATTTTCTGATCCTCCAAAATCTAAGAAAAGTTTGGAGGGTCTAGTTAATGACTGTCAAAGATAACGACATTCCTGGTGTGGAAGTGTTCCATGGTTCCAAGGACTTTACTGACCTAAGCATGCTCTGTTCACAGAGAATAACTGTCAGTGTAATGATGCTGGCAGCTTCGCAGCTACCTGTGATGTCAATGGACAGTGTAACTGCAAGGTAAGTTACATTGTAATCCTTTTGTTATGCATGTCCTGGTTTTGTTATTAAACAGTTAACTTTAAGGATTCTTTAAAAATTTAACCCAAAACAAACTTAAGGTAGTCAGTAGCTTGATAGCTGGAAATTCTTTTGTTCCTAGGATGGGACGACCGGGCTGCGTTGTGACCAGTGCCGTCCTGGATACTTTTTCCTGAACCCGCGGAACCCAGACGGCTGCATGGAGTGCTTCTGCATGGGAGTCACTGATCAGTGCAGCAGCTCCCCCTACTTCAGGGATCAGGTATAAAAGCTGTTTCCTTAATTTGCACAACCTCATAAATCAAATCATAGGGTTAATGTTCCCTCAGATTTTGAATGTTTAAGAATACAATGGATCAAATGTACCTCTTTCCATGTCAAATTTCAGAATTATACTCTTGTTATAAAAAGAAATATGAAGTTGCATTACTTAATATCAACATGCATCATCATCAGTCCCATAGCTTCTTGGTGTAATATGAGAAAAGGAAAATGCTAGAGGTTCAGACAAATATCTTTGCCACTTAACAGTCTTTATCAGAAAAGTTCTGTCTTGTTTGTTTTTCAAAGGTTGAGGCGACATTCCTGCAGCAAGGGAACTTCCAGGACTTTGCACTGGTGAACATGGCCATGTCGCGCCGTGTGACCACAGGGTTCCGAGTCAACCCCTCCTCCCGCGACCTGCAGTACCAGGGCTTCAGTCAGCTGGACAGCGACCCATACTTCTGGCAGCTGCCTGCCGCCTTCCGGGGCAACAAGGTACTGTTTCAGTCTGTCCTTGACCTTCACTTTGCATGAGTAAACTTTTAGGGCTAAATTCATGATTGGTTACAGAGTTAGGCAGAAAGGAAAAGGCTTTGTGGGGTGACAAGTTACTGTTCCTATCTGTCCTTAACACTTTTCATTAGCAAGCTTTTAGGGCTAAATTCAATTTACAGAGTTAGTCAGAAAGGAAAAGACTTTCTGCTGTGACAAGGTACTATTCCCATCTTCTTAACCCTCACTTTACATGAGCAAAATTTTAAGGGCTAAGTTCATTATTGGTTTCAGAGTCAGGCAGAAAGGAAAAGACTTGGTTACAGAGTTAGGCAGAAAGGAAAGGTTAATGATTCAGCTTGGCCACTGGATATTCATTTCAGTGCTCTTATTAGTACCTGTCAGCTGCTAGATAATCATCCTCGGGTCTCAGTAGCACATGTGTTGTTGTTTCTGCCCACAGGTGACAGCCTATGGAGGAAGGCTGGTGTACAGTGTGTCACATGTTCCCACCCCAACTGGCAGGCCATTGGTGGGACTGGTTGATGTGGAGCTCATTGTAAGTACAGTGTCAAGTGCATTTGATTTACAGATACTGTAAAAAGAGATTGAATCAGTCTTCTGTGCACATAAAGGCATACATGTACACATTGTGTATAAATGTTGTTGGTAAGTCTTACAAATATTGTTTTTCTCCGTACTCTAGGGTAATGAGATCATGCTGATGTACAGACACAACCAGCAGCTGACTCCCAGGGAGTCCAGGACTTTTGAAGTCATCTTCAGGGAGGTAAGGAGTACTTACTTAGATTGTTAGGGTTAGTGTTACTGTTAATTAGGGTAGCAATGCACTTTTGTAAAGCTGAAGCCTTTCTTAAAAAAAAATGACTTGCCATTGTAAATATTCTTGCTAACTGTGGATCTGAGTGTACTCAAGCTCAAACAGATACAGAACTCAAAAGGCTAATGAGAAGGAAGTACGAGAACTTGGTTGATACAGAATACAGAACACAAAAGACTCATGAACAGAAAGTTACAATGTACAACTTGACTGTACCTATGTAGGAGTACTGGCAGCGTGCTGACGGGGTCCCGGCTACGAGAGAACAGATCCTGATGGCGCTGGCAGATGTGGAGAACATCCTGATCCGCGCCTCGTACAACAGCGAGATGCAGCAGTCATCCATCCGGGACGTCAGCATGGACGTCGCCGTGCCACAGAACACGGGCCAGCTGCTGGCAGTGGAGGTGGAGGAGTGCAGGTGTCCACCTGGATACATGGGACTGTCCTGTCAGGTGGGCTGGAAACTTAACAATATTCTATTCACATTATGTGCCAGATTTTCTATACTATTTTTAAGAGCTTATCAGCTGAACTGAAGAACGTTCACTATACAGGATGCTGACAAGTTGCGCTGAGGTGGGCGTTATTTACTTTTCAACTTCTGTAAGTCCCTGGTATTCACAATGTCCTGCATGTCTGATGATACATGTAATGTCTACTAACATGATTCCACAGGGTCACATGCATCCATCTTGAAAAAATGTCCTCTATGCAACCCCCAATGAAGGGGGGTGGGTGCATAGGACATCTTAGCATAATACCTAAACTGTGTATACCTGCACCAGAGATCTCTCCAACATACTATTTGGGCAGATATACATGTATGTGACCCAGCAGATAAATTGTATTGAAGGTTATACAATCTTAATAACCACATTCGTGGTTGTTTGTTGACAGGACTGTGCCCCAGGTTTCACCCGTAATGGAGAGGGCCTGTACCTGGGCATGTGTGCACCTTGTGACTGTAACGGCCATGCCTCAACATGTGACCCTGAGACAGGTGCCTGTCAGGTGAGATTATAACATTTTTTAGATAATATGTATTATAAAGGGTTATTATCACATGTGACTTGTTCAGAATCTTCATTTTTATGCCATGTAACATGTATTTCCTTCTACTCATGCATAGCTGACATTACAAACTGATAGGCATGAGTTGGTGATCCCTATCTTTGTACCTACAGGGATGTAGAGACAACACCATCGGTGAATACTGTGACCAATGTGCTCCTGGTTTCTTTGGGGACCCGTCCAGTGGCAGGCCTGATGCCTGTAGACCATGCCCCTGCCCACTGCCATCTGTCAATAATCAGTAAGTACATCATCACCTAAAGAGGTGATTATGTCTTCCTAAGCATCGACCAGTACATGTATGTTTCTATGTACCTGTGCCCCCCTTGACCTACATTTGTATGGGAAGAGTGGCCTAGGCCGACAGGGCATTCCAGTCAGAGTAGAGGCTATTGATTGTTGATTGATGGATTGATGATCATTTGTTAACTACATGTAGTTTCTTTATGTGCTGAGAAGTGGATTGATAAGGTTATGAATGGGTCGGATTAAATGGTTGCATTTTGTTTAACACACAACTGTCCTTCCCAGGTTCTCCCCCACCTGTTTCTTGGATACAGACAGCCGCCCCACCTGCGATGCCTGCCCACCTGGGTACTCAGGAAGGGACTGTGGAGAGTAAGTACATGTACATTTAACATTACAAAGAGCCTTTAAAAGTTCTTCAGTTGCAAGTTTAAACGTTGTGAATCAAGTTTGATCACTACTACTAAAGCATCACAGATTGTTGTCCTAGCTTTATCTTTTTTCTTTTTCTTTTTTGCAATGTAAAAGGAAGTAAGTTTGTAACCTCTGTTCCTTCAGGTGTTCACCTGGCTACAATGGTAATCCCAGAGTTCCTGGTGGCAGGTGCACCCAAGCTGGAGTCGGCCCTGGACCCGGAGTTGGACCTGGAACTGGAGTCGGCCCCGGTCCAAGTAAGTGGACTAGTGTTAAGTTGTTACATGGTCTTCATTGTAACTTTCAGATTGGTGTTTCAGCATGGAAAGATACTATACAGTACAGATCGCGGGATAAGCATCATCGGGATTCGGGATTTTGCGGGATATCCCGCGGGAGTTTGCGGGATATCACGCGGGAGACTGCGGGATATCCCGCGGGAGTTTGCGGGATATCACGCGGGAGATTGCGGGATATCCCGCGGTATTCTTTCGGGAGGCCTGTCGTGTCCCGCGTACCGCGTAGCGAAAAAACTTGGTGCGAGACCCCGAAGTCTACCGCGGCTCGGAACGGCGATGGCGGCGTGCCAAATGTTTATTTTTACGTCCTGCCGGGCGATCTGTGCTGGGCCGATGGAGTCTGACGCCAGTCAACTTTGCTACAATTTTGCTACAATTTTAATGGTGTTGAAGCATAAGAATGTACGAAAATAATGTGTATAAGGTATTTCTCACGCGGTCATAGTTATTATAAAACTGCTACTTTTTTTTCAAAGCTATTGTTCAGCGCAAACTTTAAGAAACTACCGTGAATGAATACAATGTAACGTGTAGTAATCCCTCCGTCTCCGGTAAATTCGGCAAGATTGTTACCAAGAAATAAAAATTATGAGGCGTACCGGCAATAGTTTGTGGTTGTTGTGTTTCATAATCTTGTAGCTGTTGTCTTCTCATGGTAGCTTGCGTCAAGAGGTCTCCGTATTAGTATTAAGAATTGCGACAATTAAAAGTCTGCCCATCAAAATCCCGGGGCGTGCGTCTCCCCCCTCCCCAAAAACTCTTGCATCAACAAGTTCAACGACCATGTCCATAATTAATTTCGATAGATTACTATCACCCTGAAAGCAAGGAGCAAGTACTTCCACACGGCTGGCAAAGTTTCTTTCGGTAGGAAAACATTCTACATGTACTTCTGTCAGCTGCAGGGTCAGCCAACTAGATGAAAACGGAGTCGATAGCGCACGTCCAAGACACGGGAGAACCCGAAAAATAAATAAACACGGGAGAACCCGAACTAAACGTGTTTATGATAAATTTTACGGAAATTAATTCGTTCTCAGACCATAAAACTTGAAATTCACTCGGTACACTCTATGGAACTAGCCTCCTCACATGTGAAAAACGTTGTTTTGGGATGAAATTGGGATATAAGAAAATTACAATGTCGCATGCCGGCCGTGCAAGGCGGAAAAAGAAGCCACAATCCGACGTACGTATAACAATCGTCAGGCGGTGTTTCTGTGGGGCGGTGCATCTGACTCAACTCTTTGAATTCGCGGGCCGGCTGGTGGGCGGGTCCCCATCTGCGCGCTGTGATTGGCGCGCCAGAACGCCACGTGGTCAGTCGGCGCCGGGGAGTCTGCCAGCGCCGCCGCCGCTGCTGGCGACGTGCGGTTTCTATGGCGACGCGGCGTGGGAACGCCCGGCCCAACACTGGGGGTCTGCATGCCCTTTTTCGTAAGGCGTAATCAGGCGTTTTTTATTCATTGTCTTCGTAAACCGAAGGCAACCTTCCCAAAAATCAACGTAATTCGCAATCAGTACATTAGCCGCAAAGCGTAAAAGTCGTAATCAGCTCTGAAACTTTAACTTTATAGCGAAAATTTTGCGTAATTCGTAATCAGTAACCCCCATGCAGGCCCTGAACACTGCGTGGCGCACGAAATGTATAAAAGTTTGAGGCGTAAAGAACTCTTGAATTATGCTTCGCCCCCTTGTTTTACACGATGTTTAATCTCTCTTCCGTAACTCCATACGTCAACCTCCCCTATCTAGGAGAAAAATAAAGAACTCGGGTGGCGATTTGGCACGTCGATGCGTTAGATTTTTTAAAAATTATATCTGAAATAGCGCAGGTCGGGTGACATCAAAATAAAGCCGTCCACGTCGCAAGGCCGGACACAAAACTTGTTCAAGAAGGTTGTATTACTTTGTTATCGTTCTGTACCTTATTAAGCCATCAGATTTCCGATATTAAAAAAAAGAAATGTTTGGTTAAAAATACTATTTGCTCTACTGTTATTTGCATGCATTGAAAACATACTAAAACATGCACGCATCGTCTGCGTAAAAATCTGTAGTCAACGCGGTTCAACTTCAAGTAACAGCGGCGCCGGCCCTTCGGAAACCTAAGGTCTCACACCGAAGATCGGGGTTGCGGGAGAGGATTTCGTACCGCGGGATATCCCGAAAAATCCCGCAGGAGATCCCGCAAACTCCCGCAGGAGATCCCGCAAACTCCCGCGGAAGATCCCGCAAACTCCCGCGTGATATCCCGCAAACTCCCGCGGGATCTCCCGCGGGACTTGATGCTTATCCCGAGATCTGTACTGTACATCTCATTCTGTGCAAATGTGTTGTTCATACGATAGATTGTTAAATTCATTATGTTTTGTCAATTTTTTGCATCATCAGGTCTTGATAGTTTGATAAAAATGTGGTGTTAGTTTGGACTTGAGTGTAGACCAGAAGAATCAGTGTACTCTGTGGGGATCTCTCCCCCCCCCACTCCGTACACTTGTCTTGTGGCCACCCCTGGTTAATGATGTCTCCCTCTGTGTGTGTGTAACAAAAACAGGCCGTTATCCCACATACGGAAATGTGCCTGAAAGGATGACGGATGAGGGTAAGAGGAGTTGTGGGAGTAGCCACTGTAGCATTTAGCCCTCCTGCATATTTCCTGCCCCTTTCCTCTGGCTGTTGATGTGTACATGTACATGTTGTTACACTATGTGTACATGTATGGTGGCAAGTGGAAGCTCTGTAGATTGACTGCAATATGCCAGCTTTTAGATAAGCCTGACATTCTTTGTGTTTGAGCTAATAGATCTGAGTTTGAAGTTTGGCTAGTGTAGTGTATCTTTTGCACGAGAATGACAAAACAGCAGCCAGATATAGCCCAGCAGTTTAAGATAGGAAAACTGGCAAAGGTAGAGTTTGGAGCTGTTGGCATGAAATCTAGAGAATTGGAAAGATCAAAGCTTTAAGCATGGGTACAGTCCTGCTTTCTGCTGTTTGAAATATCAAATGAATGCATTTTGCAAAGACGGAAATATTCTCGGTGTCCCTCTTATGTTTTGGCAGTCTTAGTAGTGTTTATAGTCAAATACATGTATGGACAAACAGTTTAAAGCTTTGCATGAACCTTCATGTGATATGGTGGTGTAAGGATTCTTATGAATGATTTCTTTGTTTTATACTCCAGTTGGCCCAGGCCCAGGTCCTGGTCCAGTCGTCCCCCAGCAGCCCTCCATCCAAATCTACCCACAACAAGCCACCGAGACTGCCGGAAGGTCCGCACAGTTCCGCTGTGACGTGTCCGGCGCCCCGCCATTCCAGATCAGCTGGGGACGCAGTGACGGACGCCCCCTCCCGCCACGGTACAGACTGTCCAATGAGAACTCGGTTCTGACCATCAGTAACTTGGAGTCTGGCGACAGCGGATACTTCATCTGTCGAGGCTCAAACCTGTACGGGACGGCACAGGCTCAGGCTCAACTGACTGTTACAGGTATGTCAACATTGTGTTCAGGATAACCAGGGCTAGAAACTGACAGAAAAATCACCAGGAATAAAATGTTTCTGTCCCAGTAACCAGGTAGTGACTCTATCAGTGACTGGAAGAGACTTCATGATATCAAGTACATTGTACATTTGAGTTCTTGTCAGTAACAGTTGAAGTGTAACTTGTAACCTCCTTCCTCCTTTTGCAGCTCCAACTGTTCCTATCAGAGTTATTGTGGATGAACCCAAGACCCTACAAGCCACTCAGGGCCAGACTGTGCAGTTCAAGTGTATTGCCTTCAGCCAGGTATGCAGTAGACATGTATCCTTCCCATTTCTTATGTTAAAGACACGTGTCCTTCTCATTTCTTGTGTTAAAAATTGAAGATGTTGTTGATTTGTCATATACTGCTGGACTTTGGAGACAAGGAAAACAATTATGTTGACTAGAAACTTTAATGCCTTGACAACATGTAGCAGTCTAGTATGTAACTTTTTGCATCATGGCCTCATGGCATGCTGTTCCTTTATGCCTCAGGTCACATACACCTTGGTGTGGACAAAGAACGACGGCAGTGGGCTGCCAGCGGAAGCCACAGACTTCATGGGAATTCTGACCATTCCGAACGTCCAGCAACAACACACCGGCATCTACACCTGCACTGGCTCCAACATGTACAGTATCGCACAAGACTCTGCACAGTTGCAAGTCCAAGGTACGTGGTGGGGATAGAGGAAAGGCTTTGCCACATGGGAACCTCTTCCTTGTAACTTCTGCATGAGGACTTGTGTTTGAGACTGTAACATTGCTATAAGTATGATGCGGGAGATGCGGTGTACATGTATGTTGCATGTGTAAAGAAATGTCATAAAGGGACCATGCATGTCCAGTATTACTATTGTCTATTGTTGTGTTCAGTGTGTTGTAACATAGCTGTGACTGCTATTTTCTTAGTGTATGCCAATGTAAAAGTTTATTCTTATAGAGACTTAGTGTTTGTGAAGAGTGTGTGTTTTTATCCTTCATAATGATATGAATAATTTCTTGTTCAGTTCAATTTCCCTTCCCTGATCTGTGACTTTTCTTCTTCTTTTCATTGTTGTCTTCTCGTCATATGTGAATTATCTATATAAATGTAGACCCCAAAGGTCAATCTACTGTAGATCTATAAACTCAGGTAAAACTGTACCACCTCATTTTTCACAAAGTTTGCTAAATGTAGCCTGGTGAGATGTTAACACAAAGAGTGAGAATATAGACTATATGTACTACAGTGTATATAGTGCTATGGCTGTACTGCAAGGCCAGGAACTCTGTTGGGGAAACATGTATGAGCTAGATAGATTTTGATTCCTTACAAATGTGTAGTGGAGCTTAACTATTGCAGGAAGCTTTGCAAGAAGATATTGTATTTTAAAACTTATATTATTGTACTTGGTAATTACCATATTTGCATGGTGTTTATTTATACACAAAGTTTACTCACATTTATGTTGTTGTGTTGCATAATGTACCATGTTGTGTTGTTGCTAACTAAATAGACTGTGTATTGTGAATGGAGCTGGGAATTAACGTAACAGCTGCATGTTCTGACAAAAGTCTGCTGTGTGACTGGCAAATAAAGCATGTAGCAAATGTCGTGTATATTGTACTGGTGGCTTTTTGCAAGAAAACCAATAAAGTATCATTTTTTCATGAGCCTTTGAGTTTGATTTGATTTCATGTAATTTTTGTTTTAAGTTTTACTCAATTGTTGTATGCAATATGTCACACATGAAGAAGGAGGGGGGGGGGGCAATGTTAGCTGACATGTATGATGCAGCATGCTACACCGGCCACTGAAATGCATGTGTTGTCCTGGTCTTGTGTCTGTGTGTTCCATCTGCCTGTGTGACTTGTTGTGCTGTGACACTGCATTGCTGCATGGCGTCAAGGTCGCTGGGAGGAACCACTCTCTCAGGGGGACCCTCCTTCTGGAGTCCTGAACGTGGACGGTGGTAATGTGCAATGTGTACACCATACTTCGGATGTACTTAACACCTAGTGATGTTTAGGCGAATATGGAGCTGACATGAAAGCACAGGCATTTCAAGAATAGGAAAATAGCAGTACAATTTAGAGTACAATTTAGTTGAAAAAATGAGGCAGAATCAGCTTTAAAACATAGACAGCTTAGTGCTAATTTGCTTTGCACTCTTATGACTGCAAGACTGCACAATACACTACACTTGTTGAAGCTTATGCTGTCACTCTTTTAACGGCCACCTAATATTGTCTGGATAAAAACCCATTTCAAGTGCAAGTTACATGTAGGTTTGTATGACATATTGCTGTTGTTCTCTGTACAACTGTCTACTAGTACTTGCTCTTTGACTCCTTTTGCATTCCTTTTGCTGTAGTGTCCTGTCCATGTATTGTGTGGTACTATTATACCTTTTAAGCATTACCAAGATCCAGATATTAAGTGAGTCATGCATATACTGACAAGTCAATGTTTCCTGACCAGCATTGTCCCAGAGCGATGTCAATCCACCAGAGGTTCGCATCGAGCCTCGATTCCAGACCGTGAACATCGGCGACCCCGTGCAGTTCCGCTGCGTCACGTCAGGTTTCCCCCCGCCAGAGGTGGAATGGACGGGAGGTCACCGCGGCATCCTCAACCCCACATCATCGTTTGTGAATGGAGTCTTCAGGTTAGTCTGTCTGTTAAAATAGATGAATGACTGTAGTAGACTGTTGTTTTCATTTTTTGCCTGCTCTATGAAATTTGTCCTTGACTATGGCAGTTTTTACTGTAAACATCACTATGAAAACTTGGTAACTTGGAGTATGGTAGCACTATCCATGATTTCCATGCTGTATACATGTAATTGGAACAGATTGTGCAGGATTTTTATGACTGATGTCTTGAATTGAACTCTCTGTTTTGCCCCCAGCATCCCAGCTGCCATCAGACAGGATGAAGCTGAGTACTTCTGCAAGGCCAGGAACTCTGTTGGGGAAACAAGTGTTCGCACAGTGCTGTATGTAAGATGTAAGTATCGTTTTGGGCATTTTCGAATTCTGTCATAATTTTGTTCCAAGGCACCTTGAACAAAAATTGTAGTTCTTAGTCAGGTTTCTCTTTGTATAGAAAAAAACTTCTTGTCTGAATGACATTTTTATCATGTGTTAAAAGCAATTATACACAAACTCGTGACAGGATTGAAACTACACAGTCTTTCTTTATTGCTAAAAGAAATGATGTTTTATCTCAATGTGCAATAGAATGCTTAGGTTGTAGAAAATGGCTCAATAACAGAAATGTGTAAATTTAAGTGTCTCAGGCAATTTTCTTACTGGGCTTCATAATAATAGACTGCTTTATATTTTAGTGCAACAAATGAAGTTCAGTTCTTTACACTTATCTGACTTAAAGCTTGTTTGTTCTCCAGCAAAGCCCTGATTAACATATGGTTAAAAAGCTTAATTGTTGTTCCTGCTCTGTACTATTGGCTTGTTTTTTGTTTTCTTTCCTTTTCCGGACTAGTGTTTGGAACTAGGGACTTAGTACAGGGTGATTCAGGGTACTATATTATTGACACGGACATGCCAACAATTGAGGAATGTTCACAAGGCCATAAGTCACCATCCTGTGGCAAGTCTGGTAGGAGGGCTGTCATTGGTCAATTTGAATTATGTGTTCCTGGTTCGGGTTGACATGCTTGATGTGATGTCATAGACGTTGGACTGTATGTGGTATGGTAATTATTCAGAACAAGCCTCTTGACTGATGATATTTTGTGGAGAAAACAAGTTGAATGTCGTTCACATCCATGTCTGTAAAGATGACACTTGTAAGGCATCCAAACTATGTGTTTAACTCAGTTGGTGGTCTTACTCTTATGTATAAATATTAAACTTTGTATGATCCAGAACATTGATCAAATGTGGAATCTGATATCCCTAAGATTTAGGTTCCCATAATCTTTCATTTCAAAGGTAGCACATTTTTATTTGGGGTCATGACATTTCAAATAAAATGACATGTCTAAAGTAATCAATCATCAAGTAAGACCATTCCATTTTTACTCCTTACAAATGTCACCTTTAAAGTGAGAATTGCATCTATCTCTGAGGACGTTGCTGCACTGAAGCATTTTGACAGGTCTGATACATGTAACGTTATGCCTTGACAGTGACTAAGTTTCTCCTTTATTTTTTGCTGACTGTTCTTGAGTGCTTGATAACAAGATGTACAGTGGTGAAGAAGAACTATGCACTTGCATTTCTGGGAAGTGGAGACCATTAAACTAACCATCAGTGAGATAAGAATGATAAAGCAAGCTGCATAGTAAGCTTGTCATAACAACAGTACCATGTCAGCCTTATAAGAAAATTGCCTGACACTCTTGTAATACCTTTGTTTTCCTGTAAGCCCCAATACCATGTAAATTAGAGAGATACTGAGTTTTGATAATCTGATTTTTCAGTGCAAGGGGCACCAGAAGTGTCTGTGAGGCCAGAAGTGATGGAGGTACCTGAGGGAGAGCGTGTGAGGTTAGAGTGTTCTGCAAGGGGCAACCCAACTCCCACACTCTCCTGGAATAAGTACAACGACCCCCTGCCTGTTGGATCAGTGGAGAGCAACGGAGTGTTGACCATTCCTCAGGCACGGTTGTCAGACTCTGGGCACTACGTCTGCACAGCATCCAACAATATTGGAACTGAACAGAAGAGATTGGAGCTGAGAATCACAAGATGTGAGTTGATAAGAATAGTTTCTAAATACACTGTTAATGAATGTATAAGCTGTTGGAGCAACCCTTATTCACCTCAAATGTCTTAGGCCTTGAAAATGCTACGTAGGAGAAAGAAGCAATGCAGCATAAAAGAGTGTGTTGTTGAAGATAATTTCCTTTCTTCCTTCATGATTCTTCTGGGTGTTCAATGTCTTCAAATATACAGACTTTTTGCTCATGCTATCTTACTTATTACACCATCCAGTGCTGCAGAGGCCCCCCACAGCTGCCATTGAAACCGTGGGTCCAGGTGGACAGGTGTTACAGCCAAACCTCCTCACAGCTACGACAGGGCAGACAGTACAGCTGCGTTGTGTAGTGTCAGGTGAACCTGTGCCAACCATCACCTGGGGCAAACATGGAGGGGCACTGGGACAAAACCATCAGGTAAGAATTAGATGTATCTATAATTGAAGATATTGTTTAAGTTCTTCTAACATTGTATGGTACATTGGTGTATAGGGTGGATGTATAGGGTGGTGCCCATCTCAGTTTTCTTAGCTCCTGGGCCACACAGCTGTATAAGTGCACAGATGATAGAACACCAAAAGGCTAGTTCACTGGTAGCACTGTGTGTTCAGTGTCCATATTCTTTCCCCATACTTATAGGTGCTCAATCCTGCAACCAACTGCATGCAAGACAGACATTGTACCTACCAAGCTATTGCTTTGGTATAGATATTTTCGATAATTTGATTGTTGAATTGTAAAGACTGTTGTCCCTGTCCTAGGTACTGAATGATGTTCTGCGGATTGTGAGGGTGTCCAGTAACGACCGTGGCATGTATGTCTGCACAGTGGACAACATCGCCGGAGTGTCCTCGGCCTCCATCATGCTGGAAGTGGAATGTAAGATCTTACTTCTTCTTACTACTTCTTGTCAAGATGTTGAATTTATAAACTTGCATGTTCTGCCATTGCTTGTGTCCATTTACGTATAGTTAGTACCAAAGTGGTCTTCCTTAACTGCTATATCTAATTACCTTTTACTAACAATTTTAATCTGTCAGCATACATGAGAACATCACATGGACAGGACCTGGTAACATCTATATTTACATAGTGTTAAACACTTACTGTATTTTACATTTGCATCTTTTTCTCCGTACCGCTAATCATATAACCACTGTATCAAACATCTGTCCTTTATAAAAGCCATCTTTATTTGAAAATGTAGCATTGTAACTTTTTAGTACATTTTGCAATGAGGCATTTAGAGGTTTCAAGCAGCAGAAGATATGGCTTTAGACAGTGCTACTTGGAGGTACCATATGGAGAGGAGCAAGAGCTAGCTACATGTACTGACCTAACCACTTAGGCAGGCATTTAGAGTTTGATTTGGTTTTTCTCTGTGTAACAGCTCGAGACCTGCCAGCTGTTCAGATCTTCCCCACTCCCAATATGGACCTGCAGATTGGACAGTCCACCCAGCTGCAGTGTCAGGCCACCAGCGGCCGGCCAGCACCCACCATCTCCTGGAGCAGGGCTGGTAATGAGCAGTTCACAGGTAAGTCTGGCTTTCAGTTGTTGGTTTGTTCTGGTTAAAAACTTGAGATGTAAAAAGTGTTAATCTACATGTATGGATATATCTGATGTTCCAATATATATTATTGCCTTTTTTGGAGGCAATGGCTAATGAATAATGCCACATTTTTAACGTTCAAGTGGTTTGGAGTTTTTACAATGTAGTTAAAATCTACTTTTAATGGGACGTTGCCTATTTGGTGAAAAAAAATTGGGCAGATTCTGGTAAGGTTTTTTAAAAATTTGAAATTCATATGTTGAAGAAGTTGTGTTTCCTTCCCAACAGAGAGAACAGATGTAAGAGATGGAGTCCTGACCATCCGAGATGTGACCCCTGCAGAACAGGGTGCCTATGTCTGTACTGCTAACAACACTGTAGGGTCCATCCAGGCTACAGCAAACATCAGGGTACAAGGTAAGTCTGCTGCATTCTGTGAACAAGTTTCCATGGTGGAAAGCTGGCAGAAGCCTGGCATGTCATACAGATATTAGTATTATTACTGGAAAGGTGGTATCGAAGTCATAAAGGGCTGGCAAAGTGCCATTAAGTGTCAAGTCTGTCAATACAAGTGGCATACTAATGTGACCTGTGAATTAATAAATAAACCGTTACCACGAGAAATATTTTTGGAAATGGAAAATAATTAAAGGAATTTTATGTAATTTATAGTTTGAGAAAAAAATAGCATTTGTCAAAGATGTTTGTTCTCAGATGACAAAAATGTACATCTAAATCTACTGTCCACTCCAGGGTACCCACGGGTGACCATCAGTCCAGCAGGACCGGTCAGTGTTGGGCTGGGTGAGCGGCTGTACCTGGAGTGTGTGGCCACAGGTGACCCCGCACCAGTGGTCAGGTGGACCAGGGATGGACAACGCACTAGAGCCAGAGTAGAAGGTAAGGCAGATACACAAGAACTATTACCGGTAGTCTAATAGTTCCTTGTATAGAGTTCAATCTATATGTATATTTCAAAATATATTAAACTCAATATACAACCAGTGCCATACATTTTTCATTTCAGACTCAACAACTTTTCACACTATTGCAACCTAACTTGTCCAAAGTTTTGGTTCATATTTGTACTCAAAGTATGTATTGTAAAGGTTTGCCTGATATTATCCTTCTTAGGAGGTGACACCCAGAACAGTGCTGTGTTGGAGATTGACCGTGTGACTGTGGAAGATTCAGGAGTCTACACCTGCGAGTCCAACAACAACATCGGCATCTCAGAGTCTTCTGTTCAAGTCATAGGTAAACAAGTCCGGCTCCTTTTGCAGGTGTTGTGTTTTATTTAGTTTACATGTACAATATCTGCAAGGTATGAAATCAAATTTACTGCTGTCATACATGTAAGTACATTGTATATTACCGTTGTGAGGGAATACAAAGTCCAATCTGTTCTTATATTACAGAAAGGGTGCAAGTGATATAATTCTGAATATTTTTTTTGCAGTTTCTGAATCACTAGTACGACCGGATGAGATTCCAGTGGTGACCATCACTCCTCCGTTCTCTACTGTAGTGGAGGGAGACCCTGCAGAGTTCAAGTGCACTGCTACAGGTAATGACTTACTTGTATTGTGCCTTTGTCTGAAGTTATGCAGTAAGTGGAAATGCTTTCGTGCTACCATCCCTATGGACGCTTTGGAACTGACTCAATTTTGTCAATGTAATAAGCTTGGTAAATTGCATGTCTTTTGAAAAAATGAATAGTAGTCAATTTAAGATAAGCTTCCACCAGTCTTGTATGGCACCATATGACCCACATGCAATAAGCAGACAACAGTTGAAAAGGGTACCCAATGTGTTTCATCCTATCCTTGTGACTGCAGGTTCTCCACCCCCACGGCTGCGCTGGCAAAAGATCGGAGGTTCCCAGCCTCCCAGGTACCAGGTGCAGCAGGGCACGCTGACCATCCCCAGTGTGCGCAGGGAAGATGAGGGAGAGTACTCCTGCACTGCTGTCAACTATGCAGGGGAGGCTAGTCTGGCTGCAAGACTTGTCGTGCAAGGTACAGTGTAGTGAAAGGTTCTCTTTCTAGGATTACAGACAAATAGTCTCATGCCATCATGACCGGTTGATACTTGTCTGACTGCAAGAATTGTTGTAAATTTTACAGTCTAATGACATGTAGGGGTTAGATGAAATGGAATGCTTGGTACTACGGTGATGTTACCATTACTGTAGAAGCTAGACTTAGTCCAACATGTAATTGCTAAGCAATTTAGTTCAGGAAGAAGAAGAATAAACCTGGCATGATTGGAAAGATGTACTGTAATTTGCAGTTGACATTGAACAATTGTATGAGGTGCTCCTTATTCAGAGAACTCTTGAATATATACACAAGTGACAGGTTACATTGTTCTTCCTTTCCCCAGTGATTCCCATGGTCAGTATTGACCAGGAGACGATGACAGTCTCCCCTGGAGAGGAGGTCAGACTGAGGTGTGAAGCGGAGGGCACAGAGCCGATCATGTACGAGTGGACACGCGTGGACGGGGACATGAGCACGCGGGCGACTACGAGCGGAGGACTGCTGATCATCCAGCAGGTCACAACAGAGGACATGGGACAGTACAGGTGTCTCATCACCAACCCTGCTGGCATAGCAGAAGGCTTCACCAATATCATTGTCACAGGTGGGGAAATGGACAATTTTTATGTTTGGCTTGTTTGCAGACAAATTACAATATGTAATGATGATAGACATTTTTGTTTCATTGTGCTTCTTGGGAAATTTGATTTTATTTGCTGGTTTCATTTGGGATCCATCAAAGAAATTGCTTGGACTTTGCCTGGGAAAATGCCTGCAGTTTTTGTGCCGTTCTTTGATTGTCACACTTCATATTTTTTATGGGTGCAAGTTGTCACTTTTGGCTGTACTCATGGAACCAAATCAGCTAAATGTTAAAAACATCTTGATCATTGTTCAGTATTAATCTGCAGTATCTTGCATCCATAGCTGTACTTCTTAGAAACAAAATATTAACCTACAATCCTGCAAATTTTGTTCCCAGCTCAACCAACGATAAAGACGATCTCCCCTAAGGAGTCGATGCGAGAGGCTGGGTCCACGGCTGAGTTTGGCTGTGCAGCTGCAGGCTTCCCTGTCCCCAGGATACAGTGGAGAAAGGAGGGAGAACCACTGCCTGAACAACACGTCATCTTCGGCAATGTTCTCAGGTCAGGATTAGTGCTTTAGCTGATGTGACTTGGTTTAGAGGATATCTGACTGTTCCTGCTTCTTTATGTACTGTTACAGCTGTTACAAATGGGACACTCAGAAAGAAACTTGTTTACTGGTACCTCCCATTCATGTTATTGTTTCTCCCTCTTTGTTTGAAATCTTTGTACAGCTCATTTCGAAAAAAGGTCCTCTTAACATACTAGTTGTTGAAAGCTCTTGCAATATTAATATGTTATCTTGTTACTGGCCAGAATTCCAAATCTTAAGCCAGAGGATGCTGGGACATATGTCTGTGTGGCATCCAACGAACTGGGAACCACTGAAGAGAAAGCCACCTTAAGTGTCGCTGGGGGAGAAGGTAAGACATCTTAGGAACATATTGTTTGCCATTTCGTTTACTCATCCAAAGCCTTAATTCAGTACCAAGGACAGGTACATAGTGTGAAAATAGATCCATTAAAAGGGACAAAGCTTGTGAGATAGTGTGAAAGCAAGTTCAGTACCAAGGACAGGAGCTTGCTAGATATTATGAAAGGAATTACACTGCTACTGGTATATGCACTGGATTATGTACTAGGATGTGCAAGTTAGTGTAGACATAATTTAAGCACTAAGGACAGATACAGGCTAGTTAGTGTAAACTATAGTTTCAGTACAGGAGCTTGTCATTTATTGGCTGTTTATGTGGTTCATGTTGTTTACAGAGGCACCTCCTGCAGTAGAAATCAATCTGAAGACAGCCGTGCAGATGGTGCGCATAGGAGAACGGGTGGAGTTTGACTGTGCAGCATCCGGGGAACCCAGGCCTCTGATAGAGTGGACAAAGGTATTTTCTCTTTCTTTCTTTGTTCCTAGTTGTATGGCAAAACTAAATTCTGCTTTGTCTTGCCCACAAGTTGTGTGTTAACTCGTCTTTGTTTTTAGTGTACATCAGGCCACATGCCTTGTTCCTAGAGTTTTTACAGCCTGAACATAGATTGGAAGTTGATTGCAACAGCTGAAGCCAATTATTAATTTGCTGGTTGCTACCAGTTTTTCCTTCCGCTACGAAATGTACTGGTAAAGAATCATTGCTTGGGAAATAGAAAAGAAATACATTTACATTGTATGTATCAATGCATATCATAAAGTGTTGTTAATGAATTGGATGCACCCATTAGCATGCCAAAGGTTATTAAAAATTTGTCCCTCCTCACAGGTGGATGGGAGACTACCCAGTAATGCTGAGGTGCGAGACGGCATCCTGACCATCCCTGCTGTCAGGCCTGGAGACGAGGGGCGGTACAAGTGCAAGGCCTCCAACCGATTTGGCGCATCTGAGCAGGAAGTGACCCTCAGCCTGGAAGGTAGGACCAAACTTCTCTGTCATTACTGCAAGAAAAAGATGTATATGTAAGATATTTTCTGTATAATCATTACATCTGTATTTGCTACTTACATGTATAAACAGAAAATTATGATCAGGGAATAGGGAATAAGTTTTTAAACGTACAGTAATGTTACTGCATTAGATGGAAGTAAAAACTTAACAATACCAAAATCTCACTACCTTAGTTTACAGCATATTTTGTGCACCCTACTTCCCTGGTACATGTTTTCTAATGTTGCCCCCCTCCCCCCTCAGCTGCACCGACTATGACAGTCAAACCAGAGGTGCGGAATGTGATGCTGGGTTCCACAGCTGTCTTCACCTGTCTGGCCAGTGGTTCCCCGCCACCTGACATCACCTGGAGGAAGGAGAACGGTGACCTACCTGATGACCACATCATCGATAATGGAGTCCTCACAATTCCCTCTGTAAGAAATCCTTAAGGAAGTGATTATATCCATAATTTAGACCCAGAGCAGGGTAGAAAAGATGAAGTTGTCTCTGAATGAAGAGTGAATGAGATGCAAAGTTCATTTGTCACACCCTTAATGTTTTAACTTGAAAACCCTGGAGTACATGTATATCTTTGGCACCGTTTTCTTTTTATTCTGTTTTGTGTCTTTCCGAGTTGGTTCCTTTAGCTAGCAGCATAGGCCTCTGGTACAACCAAACAGCTACACGTATTTTGTTACTGTCATAATTGACTGCATTTTGTGTTACCATACAGATCACCAAGGAAGATGCAGGTGCTTACATCTGTTCAGCCACGAATGATGAAGGAACTGCAGAGTTCCGTGCTATTCTTAATGTTGGAGGTTTGTTTCTGTTTGTCATACACTTTTGCATAAACACTAGCAAAATGTACAATTTCTTGTAATATTTGTGCACTGAACACATTGCTAGGGGCAGCTGTTGTGACAGTACATGTAGGTACATGTAGGCACAAGTGTTACAAGCACTGTTGTTGACTTACATTATGAATGAAGATAACAATTTTTCTAAGATACTAGTATGTTGTCTTGTATTTAAGATGTTTGTGCATAAACTGTCACCACACATTTTTTTAAATCCAAATATGTAGCTTGAAATTAGATATTAATCATAAACTAGACTAAAAGTCTGTTATGCTAAGCAGTAACTGCCATGAGAGCAGTTTCAGTAACAGATTTCTGTCTGTTTTCTCTTCCAGAGCTGATCCCATACTTTACCCAGACTCCCCTGTCCTACATGACCTTCCCCACGCTTCGGGAGGCCTACCTGCAGTTTGACATTGAAGTGTCCTTCAAGCCGGAAAGTACAGAAGGTAAAGGGACAGTCTTTTCCTACCATTTGGGATTGGAATACATGTATATGCTAATTAGGGATTAAGAAGTTTGTTTTGTTTGTGCCTTTTTTTGGCTTTGGTTTTTTAGCCCAAAATCAACAATTAAGGCCGCTTTTCATAGGTCGAGTTAAAGTCAAGAAGGTCAGGTAGAGTTGAAAAGTAAATAAGTCTTGCAAGTTTATCTGATGAAGCAAAATATTTACTATTTTTAGTCTTTGAAAATATTTAACATACACAAAGATGGCATGAACTACAAATGGTTGAAGGTTTAGCACCTGCACGAAGTTTGTACAGTAACTACAGAAGCTGTAGACGGGATGCCTCTGACAAGGTAAAATGATACCTGGTGAAAAGAATCCAGCTCCTCATTAACAAACATTCCACCTTGTTCAGGGTTGATCCTCTATAATGGACAGAAGAACGGCGGTGCCGGGGACTTCATGTCGCTGGGCCTGTCGGAGGGGTACGTGGAGTTCCGCTTTGACGTGGGGTCAGGAGCAGCCGTCATCCGCAGTAAGAACGCCCTGGAGCTGGGCAGGTTCCATACCGTCGTGCTGAAGAGGTATGGCATGGGATTTATCAGTTGTTAATTTTACAAGAAATTATTTACATTGTAACTTTGTGAAGGTTAGACGGAAATATGATTGTAATGTTTAAATCAAATCTATACATCAGATTCTGGTATTTTACATCATTGTGTGATTTCAATGACACTTGATGGTGACTGATACTAAAGGTTTTGTTGTTTTCCTGTGAACAGGAACAGCAGGTTTGGTTCCCTGTCTGTGGACGGCCTCCCGGCAGCTAACGGCACGTCTCAGGGTAACTTCCGTGGTCTGGACCTGATCGAACCCCTGCACGTGGGCGGAGTACCTGACTATGCTGCCATAGCAACAGCCTCAGGGCTGAAATCTGGCTTCATCGGTAAGTTTATCTTTCAAACTGTTGTTCCAAATTTGACTCTTGTTAAAATCTTTTTATACTAACTTACACAATATATGACATGTATTGTCTAAGTTAGTATAAAAAGATTGTGTATTTTTTTCAAATGTCCATCCCTCCACATTTTATACTGTTGGCCAATACCAATACAAATGGTGCATTGTAGTCAGAGACAGCAGATGTTACTACATTTGTTTATTTTGTTGTTCTTAAGTTTTCTGTTCAATTTGAATAATTCTTTGTACCAAATTCATTATCATGGTGTTTGAATACATGTAGGACGCTAGTTTGATTTGCTGGTGTGTTACGCCGAAGGGCGGTTATACTGGCTATACAGATGCAGATACAGAAGGCCTTCTCTGATCATACCTGTAAGTGATTCCTTCACATGAATGTTGTTGTATGTGAATTCCAGGCTGTCTGAGTAGACTGGAGATCAGTGGTGCGAGTGTGAACCTGGCCAGTGATGCCATCAACATTGTGGGTGTGTCTGACTGCCCCACCTGCGCAGATAAACCCTGTAAAAACGGAGGAACCTGTGTGGAGGCGACAACAGAATACGGATTCAGGTCAGCATTGTTAAGAGAAGGAGCACTCAGTGCAGCATTTATGAATATGGGAGTTTAACACACAGTGGACTCAGTCCCTTACTGTGTGGCCCAAGAGCTATAGAAATTTAGATAGACACTGCACAAGACACTGAAAGGTGTGGGGAATGATTTTTTTCCCCTGGAGTCACTAAAAAGAAAGTTAGGATCACCTGATGAACAAGCTTTAGTGAGTCAGACACAATTGTTTGAATGGGATTTGTTTTTGAGTTGAAGTGGCTTTCAGCACCATTACATGTTGACCCGTACCGGTATAACACAATGCTGAAAATAAAGCTCACAGTATGACATATGTATGTGTTATTACATCAAATTTTGACTAGGGACCTTGAGCAGAGTTAAATGGCCTTGTGACTTTGATTAATTAACTACACTGACAATTGATGACGCTGTTTTGTTCACAGAGAAAACCAGGATACAAGAATATCAATCAATAATGATAACAAAGATGTGTGATTTGGGGAAAAGTAATCAATGGAATAGATGGGCCCACCTATTGCAGAGTGAAATGTTATATGATTGTATAATAATTATATTTATGTGCGCAGTCCATAGATTAAAAACTTGCAATGAAATTTAGAGTTAACCCAAAAGCTGTTGCACTATTTACAACACATGTTGGTCCAATGATGTTAAACCCTTAAAGAGTGTAATCCTGCTAAAATGGTAGTTGTAAAGTACATGTATTTACTACAAGGAAGAGTTGTAAACCTGTGCCAATTTTGGTTTCATGTGCAAGATTTCTGTCCAGTGCAGATATCCTAGCCATGTTCTCCGTACTCGCCCATATTTATCTGGATTGTAACAAAGCAGCTTGTTCAATTATTCCATCTTGTACAGCATTGCTGTCATGATTCTTCCTGTGCAGAAATCTTATCCATTTTCATCCAGTCTCACAATCTGTGTTTGTCCATTCATGAATATATCGCAACAAAAAATTTAGGTTACGCAATATACGGTCACAATTTGAAACGATACTGTAAGGGGTATGACACCACTGCACTGCACTTGTATGTCACTGTAACAGTTGTACTTTATTAAATGAAAAATAATCAGTGTTAGCAAACAATGCCCCTTGATGACAACCTCCTCTCTTCTGTCCCACAGATGTGAGTGTCCTGAGGGTTACAGTGGGAGGACATGTGAAGGTGTTGGAGAGAGGTGTTACCCAGGTGCCTGTGGACCAGGTGGCAAGTGTAACAACGATCCTGGCCCCACAGGGTTCACCTGCTCTTGTCCCATCGGCAGAACAGGTGTCAGGTGTGGCACAGGTGAGAATGAAGCACTACCAGTAGAAAAGTCACTTCACCAATACAGTACTTGTTGTTAATTGTACAAATTAAACTTTAAGGTACCTGATCATCTTATGAAGTAAGGACTAAATGCTGTAATGAACTACACAGATGAACTGTTAAAAACTTAGTTCAAACAGAAATAAGCATAAATATAATTTGACAGACAAAGCAGTATTGTGAACTTTCCCATGCATTGTATCATTTTGATTTTATTTATTTGCACATACATATAGTAGAAGCAATTTACAAAACATATATTACAACAGAATAGTAAACCTGCTGGGATAGAGAAGCAGCCATAATTTCTTGCTGTTTACTGTGTTGGGAACTTATATGTGTACAATTTTCTTTTCCCCTAAGGTATTGTGATCGTTGAGCCAGCCTTCAGTGGAACTTCCTTCATCGCCTACCAGACAATGCAGAATGTCCAGCGACAGACTCGTATCACCATGGAGTTCAAGTTAGACAGTCTCACAGACGGACTGCTGCTGTTCAACGGACAGAGACTGGCCGGGTCTGGGGACTTCATCTCACTGGCAGTCAAGGATGGAGCAGTCGAGTTCAGATTTGATAGTGGATCAGGTATGGAGAACATCAGAACTTTCCAGAAATTTGTTTTAGATCTATCAAATTGAATACTGTTAAATCTGTTGAAAAAAAGTGATCACATGTACATAAAGACCTCCTGGACAGTGACCACTTCTTGGTGTTCCCTTAAATAATTTTCCACCAACTTTTGGTGGCTCCTTGGATACATATGTTTCCATCAGCCAGTAATAATTCTGTCTATAATAACCACCTGTCTACATGTACCAGGTTTTATCAGTTCCCTTAGTGGTCATCTTGGGCAGGTTTGACTGTAAATGATATATTGTATTCAATGTATGAAACATTTAACTACAATGTAGGATCAGTAAATTTGAATAAAGACTTATACTAAGAAACTGTAGGTACTATATAACACAGTCTCAATGTCATTTTGTGATCTTTCCACATAGGTCCGGCCATCATTAGGAGTTCTAAGAATGTGAGTTTGGACACCTGGCACACCATCAAGGCTGAGCGAGACCTTAAGGATGGGTCCTTAAGTCTGGACGGGCTGGAGGCCACAAAGGGCCAGTCACCAGGAAGCACTCAGGTACCAATTCCTTGGATTGGTTTGATGTACTTGAACTGTATTAGCAACAAAGATGGATTGGTCAGTCTAGGCTAGGTACATGTAGTCTTCCTCGATCTTTAGTCTGTGTAACACAAGCTCTCACTGTCCAGGGCTTCCTATCAGGGGCCTAAACAGGGGAGGGCTGCTGGAATTCAGGTTTAGTCAGACTAGGAAATACCGAATCTTCTAAAAAAAAACTCCTTTACATCGAATTTAGAGATTATCATTCCCTGACTTCTCTTCTTTTTCTCACAGGGTGTAAACCTGAGGATGCCGCTGCATTTAGGAGGGATGGAGAACTTTGATGACCTTCCTGACAGAGTTGGAGTCAACAAGGGCTTGTTTGGCTGCATTGCTTCTGTGAGTAACCATCCTTTTCTGACTCAGAAGTACATGTACATGTTTATACCCAACAGTCCTTTCATTGTTAGTTTCTCCATGTAGTGAGTAATACATGTACAAATGTAAGATACATACATGACTTTGAAATGTCAAAGATCCTATTGGCAGTGCATTATGCTTTAAAATTTTTTTTTGCTTTAAGTTTAAAAATGTAGTAAAGACATGTGTTTATGCAATTTATTAGCATTACTGACCACATTTCTAGCAGCCAGCTGACAGAAAAAAATATGTACTGTATTAGACTGATTTTTTAGTTTTAATTGGCACAAGTATTCTAATAACATTTTTCAGGAAATATGTGACCTTGCTAACACTGTTAATGACTACAGGTTGAAGTGAACTCTATCTCCCTGGACCTGGTCAATGCCGTACTGGACAGTGCCAACATCCAGGACTGTGGGGAGAGGACGTGTGACCGTGCACCGTGTCAGAACGGAGCCACGTGCATCCAGATGGGAGACAACTACGTCTGCAGATGTTCTCCACAGTTCGAAGGTACTTCTTAGGCCTTCTGAAAACTGATCTAGGTTAGCTAAAATGATCTCGGTTAGCTGATGATGATGTACATGTATGTTAGCTGAAAATGGTCTAGGTTAGCTAAAATGATGTGCGTTAGCTGAAATATTAAATGATCTAGGTTAGCTGAACTGTTTTCCTACATTTGTACATGTAGATGACCATCAGTAGATGTAATACTGCTACAATGTAGCTCTGTAGTCTTTTTGTTGTATCAGGACCAACAACAATGTTCAAAACAAAGGCATAACAGAGACATCTTCATCTTTCCAGGCCGTCATTGTGAGACGGCCCTGAACCCGTGCCAGGTCCTGACGCCGTGTCTGAACGGTGGGAAGTGTGAGCAGCAGGGCAGCGACTACCGCTGCATGTGTCCTCTCGGCTTCAAGGGCAAGGACTGTGAGGAGAAGGTGGAGCTGGCTGACTACACGGCCGCCTTCGACAGGGACGGATACATCGAGCTGCCCAACAAGATCATGGGGAGGGGATATTGGGCGGAGCCTGAGTACATCGAGTTCCACTTCAGAACAACCATGGGGAACGGAGTCATCTTCTGGCAGGGTGTGGTGAGTGGGGACACTACTTGGTCTTGACAATGTGGAAATAATAGCACCTATCATTATTTTGAAAAACAGTGTGAAGATAGAGTATCTATTTCATTGCAAAGTTCAGATGTCCTTTTAGCATGATATCAATATGTGAATGTGCACTTAACAGGCAGCAACAGGTTGAAATATAAGCGATGAAGTCCAGAATTTCTTCATGATTTAATTTAGTATTACGGTATGCTTTTTTCAGAAATGATGTGCAGGTACATTATGGATAACTAGTCTTGCTAAATAAAAAAGTTACATTATTGTGTACTAATAAAGAGTGCTAATTCCTTGTGATGTGTTGCTCTACCCAGGAGGAAGGCAGTACTGGCAGAAATATGGACTTTATCTCCATAGCTGTGAGTGACGGATACCTGGTCTTCAGGTCAGTCAACTAGTATTGATTTTCCTTTAGATATCCCTGAATAATTTTTGTTACAACACTAAGGTGATGATAATCTACTTCCTAAATGGGAAATGCAATATTTAAGACAGCTAAGTGTGACAGGATGCATTTAAGTAGTAAGTAATTTTGTATTCCTCTGTTTTCCAGCTATGAACTGGGCAGTGGACAGGCAAACATCCAATCTGAGCAGAGAATCAATGATGGAGAATGGCACCACGTCAAGACCGTCAGGTTAGTCCTTTTCATTGTTTTGATTATTTCATTTCATAGTTATAGGAGAGTTTCTCATCTGTACCTTCCTTTATTGTTTGCCATCATCTATGAAGATGCAGTAAAAGGTACCAATGTAGCAAGTAAGGATCAGCAGTAAAAGCCTTTGGGTGAATTAAATGAAAAGGAGCCTTGTGGTTATTTAGTATTTCAGCCATGCATTGTTTACATATCTGTCAGATGTTGTATGTTTACATTAATTGATCCCACCAAATCTTTCAGGTTAGATCAATAAATAACAACAACAAACATGTAGTAATTTTATCCAAAGTGCTGTGAACAGATTATGCATATATGCATGACTTTTGTGTTTCTTTTTCATATTAAAGATGTGTCAAGTTGATTGTACGCATACATGTTTTCCTATATTCCTACTGTTGCATCTCCATTGTAAATGGACATAAATCAGTGACATTTGGTCATCAGGAGTTGTGAAGCCCATTCTTACTGTTGTGTCCAATCTGTGCTCTACAGAACTGGTCAGAATGGAGAACTTACAGTAGACGAGGGAAGACCCATCCCAGGGAAGTCAGGTGGCAGCCTGCAGAGTGTAAACGCAAAGGGCAGTGTATACATAGGTATGATCCTTTTTTTTTCAACTCTTATCAACTTTATACAGGTCAGGTGATTGCTATTACAAGTCTGTTTTCTACATTGAAGTTTAAGGTATATGTAAATTAAGACGCCTTAACTAACGTGACAAAAATGTGTTTTCTGTCTGCACTTGAAATTGTACAATTTAGATTTTCCATTGCAATAGTACATATAATGTAGATCCCCTGTTGGGTTGAGATGAATAACTAGTGTCAAAGTAGTCAAAGTAAATTATTTGATTGGGGCTAATGTGTTTTCTTAAAATGTCTGACTTGAAAAATTTAAACTGTTCTCCAACTCAAGAAAAGTGGACTCACCAAATTTTTTTATTAACTCCCTCATTCTTCTTCCATCATCCAATTGCTCAGAACGAGTGACTTAATGCAAGTGTGACATCATGATCAGCAAAGGATAGAATTTTCTTGAGTTGAAGAACAGTGTAATACTTGTCCAGTTGTAGTTCACCAACTCAGATGAAGTTTCATGCTAACATGTCTGACTCCTGCATGTTTGTGCTTATTCCCCAGGTGGTATGCCAGACATTGTCAAACACACAGGCGACAAGTACCAGACAGGGATGGTCGGCTGTGTCTACAACCTCAGGTTACAAAACCGGCCTCCTATAAACCTACTCCTGGACAACATAGGGGGCTCCAACGTCCTACCATGTCCCGCCCAACCCCCTCCGCTACAGGAGCTACCCTAGCACACCTCCTAGCCTTGTTGTATCTAATTTGTCAGTACAAGTTACACCCCCTCCCCTCGAAGAAAACTAGTAAAAATGTAAAAAAAAAGTGTACTTAACACTGGTATATTTAGAGTCACTTTCTTAAAAGAGTAGCAAAAATGGTGGTATATGTTTTTATGTTATATATATAGATACCATGTAGCTGTAGTATTGTAGGTTACATACTTAGAAGAAAATGAACCATGTGAACTCAAAGTGGAAATTTTGTACAGAATGATAGTATATGTAGTTAGTTCTGTTTGTATCGTATTATTACAATCAAAACTGTATCCCTTGCATGTTGGAACAATACAGCACTGAGGTTTTTTAATCCCCTTTTTAAGGTTTTATGTGCTGTTTTTAAACATGTTTTATGTGTAAAAATGTGGTGCTTTTTTTATAATCTACACAGATGTGAGGTTGGCACATTTTCTAGCTACATGGATCTGGTGTGATATATGTATGTAGGCTTCGAATGTGGTGCTAACTTCAGTGGTGCTGCAACCCATAAAAGGCGGTGCAGAAACATGCTATTACATGTATAAGTTTGAAGTTGTCCTGTAAATTGCTATGTTGAGAAATATTACTATGTGAACAGCACTTTACAGGAACATTTTATATACTGTGTTGTTTCTAAGAAATCATCTTACAGTACAACAGATATTTTCTTCTTTTTGATAAACATTAATGTTAACATACATGTTTAGCTGTGTTTTTTTAGACAATCACAGACAATACTAGGTCTACAAATGGTGTAATTTGATTGGATTTTATTTGGTCAGTTCAGGTTTTTTGCTCTAGAGATAGCTTTGACTGCTGTAGTCAGGTTTTATGTGAATATTTTGCAGGTAGGTAGAGAAGGCCTAAAATATCCAGACATACATTTGGATTGTGGTTTATCACTAATATGTAGACGAGTACCTACTGAATTCATATCTACTTGTATATTACGTCTTATGTATTGTGATTTTTTTTTCAAATACCAATATATAAAATTGAGGAAAAACATTTGACAAACTTTAAAATCTTACAACATCCTCTTTCTGGGATACTTTCAAAAATGGTGCAGTACGAAGACAAGAAATGAATGTCTCTTTTCAGCCATGGAGGGTCTTATACTACAGACGATTTTAACTTAGCAGCCATATTGGTTGATGTAGTAACAGTCAAGTGTCACTTCCTAACTTATTGTATTTATGTTTTAAAGATGCTTTCTTCGTGCAAGCAACCCCACACCTCGTATGTACAATCTTGCCCTGTGACAGAATATCTAGCCTGTGTGTTCTTCATACAACAGAAACTAATGAATGGTCACTCTTACCTGAGATGAAGTACATTTTGTTACACTGATTGTCAAAAATAAAAGTGACAATGGTATATTTCACGTTCCTCTGTACTTTGTTTTGAATCATTGATTTGTTCGGACCATGAAGTGTAACAAGGGGATGAGATACTTTTGAAAAGGAAAAGAGATCTAAGGTTAAACATTGAATACTGATATTACCCCCAAAATCAATGACGTGCCATACATAAAATTGATGGCAATAACGTTGTTCTAAAAAGTATCGGAAAAGCTGGCAAAATTCACCATGTAATCCTAATGATATGATAATGGATTTATATATATGATAATGGATTTTTAAATCCATTATCATATCATTATGGATAACATGCTATCTCTCAGAACGCAGCCAAAGTGATCACAAGCCGAAATTTGTTACTCCCCTCATCCAATTTCTAGATGATGTACTCTTAACTCAAGGGAACGATTAAGTGTGGCTAGGATTGAGAGAGAAGGCATGTCGTCAGTGATTATACTGACAGGTTGGTTGGTTGGTTGGTTGGTTATTCAATGATACAAACACTGTTCACGTGAGAAGATCCGGCCTGACTTCACTTCCGCCCTGCTGGCAGATAGATTGTGGAGCGTCTGTAAGTCAGACGTGCTGTGGCACTAGGAGAAACTTCAGGACTCACAGACATTTCTCAATCGAGGTTAGGGACAAAAAAGCACCGCGTTAACATCTTGTGAAATATTCCAACAGATTGGACTGTTCAGATTTTGTTCCGCTCTGGTGATTCAGAAGGTTTGTTTTTATAACCTTATCTCTATGGTATCTTTGGCATGTTGATATGATAAGCACTTAATGCATATAACTTGGCAAGCGTACATAAAAGAATATAGTTCCCTTCTGCAGAAATTTCGAGGACTTGGAAAGGAAGAAATAGCTTTAAACGTTGCTTAAAAGCACAATATGTCTGTACACCCTTCTCCCCATAATTTACATGAGATTTACGTAACGAAATCTGTGTTAACCGAAGTCTCGCCCGGATATCTTTCTAAGTATGTTCAAGGCCGGGTGTGTTCATGTTGTTGGAGAGATAGCAAACATTTCACTACTAGTGAACTACTAGTGAAGACATGTACCTTCTACTTGAAGAAGCAATCCCTTTGTGTAGATTCTGGGCATATAGAGATGGCAGAACTACGCCCTGCCATCGATGGTTTACCTGCTGAACAATTCCACCTTACGTGCGGCTTTTAACGATTTCAACATATCGTTGCTGTTCGTTATCTTGTTATTATCATAACACGAACGCACGCAACATCCGTGTGTATGTTATTGTTTTATACATTGATTCAACCTTAGCGCGGATATGATACGGTTGACGTTTACTACCTGTGTGGCAAGTAGCTCAATGGTTTATACGCGTTTTCCTTGCAGTGTTCGCCAATGTAACTTAGCGTTTTCTTGTATGTACCGTGTCTCCCGCTGATCGCGTCCTCGTACGTTTTCGTACCCCACATGATTGTACGTATACCGTTTGTCCTCTACTAATACAATGTAGATGAACAGTATTCAGGTGCTTGCCGCTGTCAAGAGTTAAAACATAGGAGGTAAAGCATGAAACATCGACCTTTTCAGCACGGATACTATTTACTTGCAGATCCAATCTCTATCGCTAGGGGAAGCCTTTGTATAAGTGAAAGGTAGCTATAGAGCATGTCAAACGTCGATCAATGAATAGATAAATGAATAGTATTTTGAGGAGCAGGTTCTCTTCATCAGGACATGAAGGTACAAAATGACTTTATTTCAGATCCTTTCACATCCGGACTTCAGTAGAAATGTGGTGGAAAAGTGTTCTGTTCATTTCCACCATAGCTGTGGCTATGAGAGGAACACACGGAGGTATGTAAGTCCTCTTTGTCACTTACTAAGTTTGCTTCAGCAACTCCGACAAGAGCAAATAACAGTATTTCTCTGTGACTAGCACTTCAGTGGCCAGGCTTATGCAACTGGTAATTCTAATTGTAATCCGTATTGTGACGTTTTAAATGTAGGTTACTATTCACATCAATGAGAATTTAACGTGTATATTACAACAATTTATCAGCATGTATCATGAACACGAAAACAGAATTCAAAAGGGATCATCTGTTTCATAGTTCTTAAAGGTAGAGTCTGCATGTGTTAATTTATTTTGTAGGATATTTCGGATGTATCGAAAGCCCGTCATTCCCTGGTGACGGGTTTGATAACGACTGCGACCTGCTGGTTGACGAAGAGATCCAGAACGGCATAGACGATGACGGGGACGGGCTGATAGACGAGGACCTCCGACTGTGCATCGCCCCGCAGAACGTCCCGGGAGACTACGCCGACAACGACTGCGACGGGCTGGTCGACGAGGAGATCGAGAACGGCAGGGACGACGACGGGGACGGTTTGATCGACGAGGACCTGAAGCTGTGTATCGAGTCGCCAAGTTTCCCCGGGGACGGCGAGGACAACGACTGTGACGGGCGCGTCGACGAGGAGATCGAGAACGGCGTCGATGACGACGGGGACGGCTTGGTCGACGAAGACGTCAAATTCTGCGTCGCGCCCAGGAACGTCGCGGGAGACAACGCCGACAACGACTGTGACGGTCAGGTTGACGAGGAGATAGAAGACGGCGTGGATAACGACGGGGACGGCTTGATAGACGAGGATCTGTACCTGTGTATCGAGTCTCCCGCCTTTGCAGGTGACGGGGTGGACAACGACTGCGACGGGAGGGTGGACGAAGAGTCCCAGAACGGCGTGGACGACGACGGCGACGGGCGTATCGACGAGGACACCAGCTCGTGCTTCGCGGCGAGGCAGGCTTACGGGGACGGGGTGGACAACGACTGCGACGGCCGCGTGGACGAGGAAGTGCAGAACGGCCGCGATGACGACGGGGACGGCCTGATCGACGAGGACACGTCACGCTGTATCAGGTCTGAACCCCACCCCGATGACGGGCTCGACAACGACTGTGATTACAGGATAGACGAGGAACTTCCGAACGGGCTTGATGACGACAATGACGGCCTGATCGACGAAGATATAGTGTTAGGTAAGAGGCAATAATCTATACCACGAATGCACACTTAGGCCATACTATGTTCTGTTTTCATTTGAGACAAAAATGAAGGAATCGACTCTATCGTATTTAGAAGTAGGTGAAACAAAAGTCAAGTTCCATATAGCAATTTCTGCCACCAACATTATCTCTAACAAAAAAAATGATAATTTAAAATTCTATACAGACGTGGTCATTCCAGGAGCAATATTACCCAACTACGCGGGACCAGCTTAAGCTACAGCCCCCCAAACAGTTCTAATTGCAGCTAAAGACATGTCTGTGTCTGTCCCCCCTTCATTCTTAAGGTCCACCTGGCTGTGAGATGGACTTAGTCTTCCTCCTGGACGGATCCTGGAGTATTGGAGAGGCCGTGTTTGGGGAAATTAAAGAGTATGTCCTGGAAACGATTGACTTCCTGCAGATAGATGACTATAACGTTAGTGTAAGTGCATAAATTTCTCTTTGTTAATTCACATTTTCTGTTTCCACCACGTTTCTAAACGTCTTATTGTAAACATACTATTTTAAATCTCTTTGAAATTTGGAGTCAGCAGATGCCATTTACCCATCCTCTCGATTTTATAGTTGTTTCGTGTTACGCGTAATTTGTGTCAAACCATCCACTTCAAGTGGATGGTTTGGTAATGCGTGTATGGTATCTGATAGATACAGGACACAGTTATAGGAAATGTATATACCTATACGACTTTATGTGCGTCCGCTGACGTGCTCCGACCCCACAGGTTGCCGTGCTGACGTATGGAGGTGACAGTTTCTACGGATGTGTGTCGGGACTGGATCTCCGGATAGGCGGGTACGGGAACCAGACTGAGCTGACGGACTTCATCACAAACAACGTCACCTTTCCCGGCGGTGTCACTCCGACCAGGGAGGCTCTGCACGCCATGCAGAATGTATCGTCTTACTTACTTTACTTTATCCTTCCACTTCCTCACTGCTAGTACCATCGTCGCTGTTTCACGTAGCAAAGAGTCCGATAATAAGTGTACAATTTGTAAATATGTATTTTGTCGTTGTGTCATTGTGTCAAAACGTCAACATAGATTTGGACTCTCACATTCTGTGTTTTTGTCAGATTTCCTACCGAGAGAACATGACGAAGGTAGGAGTGGTCTTCACCGACGGGAGAGCGCAAAGTGCTGCTAACGCTAACGCTGCCTCAAGGGTAAGGAATGCAACGCGTCGTCTTTACGTCATAAAGACAAATTTTGCTCTCTTTCGCCCATGACGATGTGTTCTTTCAGATGCACTCTCTGATGTCTATATTCTGGAAGACAAGAAAATAACGCCAGGTTTACTATTCTAGACAAGCGGTTCATATGCATGTTCTGTGATGCATGTTTTCTAATAGTCCAAGAAGAATGGGCTAAAATATACCTGGCATTGTAGATCTAGATGCCGGCGTCACTGTGGATCATGTCAAATTGAATGTTATACACTACCAAAACATCAGGGCCGATCACCCTTCACTTAACCGCCACGGGGGCCGACATCATCTACCAGATATCTTTGACCCAGTGTTGACATCACACTTCTAAGAAGCCATGTGACAAGCCTCACTGGGTCAGTCTACTGAGGAAGACCAGAGCTAGAGTGACTGGTCGAAAGCTCTAGGTGAGAGAACTTTATTGTGTTGGACCTAAAGTTTTAACTTTAAACACAAGATTTCCTTGTTTTCCCCAGAACGCTACGGACGAACTGTTGGCAGAGGAGGTACAGGAGGCTTCGGACGCTGACTTTCACCTGTACTCTGTGGGGGCGTCCATAGTGGACTCGTTTGTGAGGCCTGACGGACTGAACCTCATCGCTAAAACCGCCGACCATGTCCTCATCTTCAGGAACCACCCGCCAAAATACCTGGCCTTCAGGATCAGGCTGGACAACTGTGGTACGTACATGTACGGAACACCTCGACGTAATTCATTTATCCTAACTCAGTACTATGTATAAAAAATTCTCAGAGTCATACCAAAGACTTAAGAAATGGTACATGCTGCTTTCTCTGCTCAGCACTCAGCATTTGAGAATACATTTGTATACAAGTTACAACACACCACTACCCGTAGACCAGCCCCCTGCTGTAGTGATTGTACTACTGTTTGGCCCAAGGGCTGTTGAATCGAAGATGGGCACCACCCTATGTACCACATGGTGCAGGAAGGACTTTAACTTAACTCTGAAAACCAGCAATACTGCTATATGAAATGTGTCCAAACTTATTGCCTAACATATTCTGCCAATGGTGGTCACATGAAGGACAGATGATGTGCCAGTATCTCAGGTGAAAATATTATGATACATAACGATCTCCACCCTATCGTTGTCATTATCACACACACGTGTACACGAATACAAGATTGTGAACAATTTGTACACAAGTTACAAGTGCGGTTTGTTCTACGTGTATATTCCTAGTGTTTTGCTTTTATCATAATCAACTCCTTTTCTTTTGTCTTCTCTCCATTTACCAGTTGAGGAAGAGGGCTAACAGTTGGAGAAGACGCAGGGCAAACTCAATGGCCACTGACGGGCCAGTGCACTCATGTATCTATCAGTTCTACATCTGGAAGTGATTATTATTGCTGGAGTAAAGGAAACGGCTCTGAATGGTAACATATATCTGGAGGATGTTGTAAGCTGAGGCATGCTGTGTTTAAAGAATTGTCCTGCGAAATTGAAAAAAAAAATACTATATTTTCTACATCCTTCTGGTCTACATTTTCTTCCCAGGAATACACATGAAATAACACACTAGAATTATCCTATTGTCTGACAATGCTGTTAAGCTTAATTACCACTCTGCTTTACAGCATGGCAATGAGATGATTATAGTATGTGTTGTTTGTGTAGTCTAACAGCTGTAGTGTACAATATCTGTCTTGGCTTATAGCACGATTATATAACTAGGCAGATCGCAGAATGTGTTGAGGGAGAGATTCTTGCTAGGGACAAACAACACTGAGACTCTTAAATGATGATGAAATCACAATAGGATGCGTTACTTATGCCACTATCAGTAAACCAGTAGAGAAATTTTGCAAGTGCACTATATCCTTCTCCAGTACTTGATGGTTCAAATACTCTTACTTCGTCTAATGCATTTGCTTTCGATACCACCGACTTCTAACAACAACATAATGACTTTAGACTGCTGAAGTGGATAAAAGAAATTCAGTAAGCTATAAGAATAGTTTTCTCAATATGCTGCTATCACAAGAATTTAACGTAAGTGATTCTTCAATTTCCTGTGAAGAAATTCTTTCATTCTGTCCTATCAATAAAAAAATTCTGAAAAATCTTTTCTTGTATCTGGTCTCCTTTTTAACTTGCTAAATTTCCATCATACAATGTCTTAATTACCACAGATCACCATGTCTTTCAATTGAAATATAGTATTTCAATTGTGGATAGCTATAGTGTTCAGCACCTAGGACAGGTTTACCTGCGTAGGGAAAGTGTTCAGCACCAAGGACAGGTTTGCCTGCGTGGGGAAGGTGTTCAGCACCAAGGACAGGTTTGCGTGTGTGTGGAAGGTGTTTATTGTAGCACGGAATATAAACCGCGAAAATAGATGACTAGGAAAATTAGGCAAGAGTGTTATGTTTCATACTGTGGCCACATAACAGCTTATTCTTGAAAACGTTTACTTGTGATGATAGAAATACTAATTTTAAGGTGCCCTATAGCTGCATTTTTACCCATTTTTTTTTACCGAGATTGACATCAACGTTAGTATCCTTTGTAATTAGATAATCTAATCGTCCTTCTTCGACACATATAAGTGCCTGGCACCAAAACGGGCCGTCATTGGTCGTCATAATTAGATTATCAACTTCACATGCACGGCCGTTCTGCACACCTGTGTAAAAACAAGTTTGGTATGGTCCATTCAAAATGGCGATTTCGTACGACGTCGACGGGAATACGCCGCACTGTGCTGATTTTTCACAACTTTCTGGGTACTTTTAGACGTTTTCGTCGACAGAATGTCTTAGTAAGTGTGAAGCAGAATGTCTGGGAGTTTGTGCTGTGGATTTGCCGTTCTGGTGATGTTTTGAGGAGAAAATGCGGATTTCCTGACCTGGCGAATTTTGGAGAAGACAAAAATGGCGAGACAGTTGGGAAGAGTAACGTTAGCGTGGTATGGAGACGACTTCACTTATTGTTGCAGGTAAACCAGTACATTGTTTGGCTGTCATTATTCCTTAGCAACTAGTACGAACATGTCAACATATTCCATAAGAAATGAACTATTTTCTACGTATTAGGCAGCGACCGTTCTTAATTTTACACGGGCTTCGAAAATTCCATCAAGTTTCCGCGTTTTCAACAAAATTTTCAATGTGTGGTGCGCTTGTAGAGTGTTAAATGTATGTGCATGTCTTTTTAGTCAGTTGTTCAGCGTTTTGAGGTTATATTTGTCAAAAGAACTTCTGCATTGACCAAATCATTTTCTCTCTTTATCTCCACGTGGTTCAAAACACCTGGCCGTGTACATAATTAGTTATTTTTCCCGCCAAAAATGTGCGTAAACAAGATGGCCTCAAAGCTTCAGGGCGCCGAAATGAATACGATACAAAACGGTTGAAACTAGTTAAGTCGAGTTGACCATACTTTGATTCATAATTCGTTCTTCATAATCATTTGCAATGTATCATTTATAATTTAAAAGCTTGTTCGTTTCCTTTTTAGAGTAATTCAGTAAAGAGTAATGACCAAGCCCAAGTATATCTGGTGCATACACTACAGATGACTATGCTTGAAGGTAGCAATTCCTGTTTTCAAAATATTTTGCGCCGAGTTTTTTTGTATTCCACATAAAGTTTAAGTTGAAGGGGGTTGATACATTTTATTGTTGTTTCTATCCCTGTTTTTATGGTCATTAAAAGGTGTGTGTGTGCATTGCTAGTTTTTATTTTGAGACAAATGTCCAACTTATAATGTATGTATGGTTCGGAAGGCTGATGCAGTAGTGAGAACTTCTGTCTGAACCTGAGAAGACAGACTGGACCAGATGATTTGAAGACCCAAGAGAAATATCAGGTGAGAAACATCTGAATTCTGCATTCAACCTATTATTTACTTCATGTTGTTTGAGACAGTGTGTAACATCTAATGTCTGCATAGTTAGGTGGCTGCTGACTGATGCTGTATTGAAGACTTCTGTCTGAACCTGACAAGACAGATAGATAGGACCTGACCAGATGATTTGAAGATTCAAGAGGAATATCAGGTGAGAAAAATCCCAATTCTGCATTTTACCTACAACTATTTGGTCTTATTTGAGACAAGTGTGTAACTTCTACTGTCTGTATAGTTAGGTGGCTGCTGACTGATGCAGTAGTGGTGAATTCTTCATAAACCTGAAAAGAGAAGATTGGACCAGACCAGGTGATTTGAAGACCGACGATGACTCTCAGGTTAGAAAAATCTGAATTCTGCATTCAACCTACTATTTACTTTGTAATTTGAGACAAGTGTATAACTTCTAATGTCTGTAGTTAGGTGGCTGCTGACTGATGTAGTAGTGAAGACTATTGTCTGAACCTGACAAGAGAAGATTGGACCAGATCGGGTGATTTAGAGACACAAGAGCAAGATGACAACAACAACATCCACAGGTGAGACAATGCTTTAGAAGGTCTGTTTGACTCTAGCACTCTTCCCTTACATCTTACACGTCATAGAAATAACACACATGTAGCAAAACATCTTTCACATTAATTTTGTGTTCCCTTACTTGAATAAATGTCTGGTATATAAGCACTTGTCTACATTTCTAGAAAGAGGCAAAGTACAAGGTCACAAGAGTGCATCTTTACCTGGTAGCTAGTTGTCCATTCATACCTGGCATCAATTGTTCTTTTATAATTAGGGTCAGCAGTCCTGATGTTCCTGTCCAAACCAGGCCTCAGCCAACCAGCTGACTTAAAGTTAAAGACAGACCAAAGTGAAGAGATTGTATACAGGTGAGACAATGCTTAACAACGTTTTCTATGTGAACATATCCAAGCAAAGAGGTTGTATGATTGAAGGATTTTATCTATTTTATCTTTTATGGTCACTCAATGTTGCCTGGAATTTTTTTGGGAGCATCACACTAATTATTCATCATATCATTTAGGTGTGTCCTGATGTTCCTGTCCTGACGTCCCTGTCCTGACGTCCCTGTCCTGAGTGGGAGAAACATGTGATGATGGACAACTTCTGTCAACACCAGACCAAATGATGTCTTGGCAAACCTGTTGACTTGAAGACACAGTGAAGAATTTGTACAGGTGAAAGAATGCTTTACAACTTAAAACCTTTTTCTGATTTGTTACAAACCCTGAGACATAACAAACAACCAGTAATGTGTTTAAAAAACACCTTTCCATAGCCAAACACTTTCTACATCTATTAAAGCATTATGATTACCGTTATCTTTGATGGTTAGTCAGTGTTATCTAAGATGTTTTTGCATCATACTACAGTAATTATCCTTTCATTCTTAGTTATGCGTTTCTTGACGTTCCTGTCCTGACTGGGAGAAACCTGTGAGGATGGTTGACTTCTGTATAAACCAGACCAGACCAGATCAGGAGTTTGTACCTGTCCATGCAGGTGAGACAATACTTAAAAACTTGAATTTTTCATTCCTCTTGGATGTATTATGAACTGTGGGATAACATGCTGCCAGTAACAGTTACTAAACACTTTTAAAAACCTAAATTTTTGTACATGTATTCAAGCAACTTTTACAACTTACATGACTTATTCCTGTCCTCACATGTACTAGTATGTTAAGAACTCTGACGTGCGAAATGCTACAAGTACATTGTAACATGTTTTTAAAAAAGCAGTTTTGTGGAGCCTATCTCCTTCAAAGTCTATTCAATGAATGGGATAGTTGAATTGCATGATGTTTTTCCATCACACTTATTATTCTTTCATATTGTTAGGTGTGTCCTGAGGGTCGACTGTCTGCTCTGGGAGAAACCAGTTGACTTGAAGATGCAGATGGAAGTGAAGACAGCGGGCACAGTTGTGAGTATAGTTCATTTGTTCAGCAACATACCCATGCTAATACATTTCTATCGTATAATCCACTTGTCCAGTCACTAAAGCTTGCACTGCTTCTAATTACACAGTATGTCACACTTTTCTGGACTCCTTTTCACATCTTCAAACAATTAGTCCTACAAAATTGTTCCTCTGTCTTCAAGTTGTGGACCCGAAGACCGGATTGCAGCTGAGGAGGAAGAACCAGACTTTGTAGGCAGGGCTGGATGAAAGAAGATGGGGAGGTGTGAGTATGGTTTCTTTGTGAACACGAGACAACACTCCACATGCACACACTTGCACTCACTTGCACTCACATTTCTCTTTTTTCATTTAACGTTTATTGTAGCCGGCGACTTCAATTTCATGTTAAGCAACACTGAAAAATTCTTCATATTGTATGGTTGAATGCCAAATTGCCCCTAAATTGTTGCTTCAGACCGTTACACTTAAATTCTCCCACCGAAAAACTTCACATCTAAGTCAGCTTTATGAATTCCATGTTGTTATCCTCTTCATATTGTATGCATCCCAAATTGCACCCAAAATTGTCGCTTTGGACCTGTACACTTAAATTCTCTCGCCGAAAAACTTTGAATCTTAGCCGGCCGCATGAATTCCTTAGACATCCTCTTCATATTGTATGCATCCCAAATTACCCCCAAAATTGTCGCTTTGGACCTTTACACTTAAATTCTCCCACCAAAAATCTTGGTATTACAGCCGGCTGCATTGTTGTCGTCGCCCCCAGACTTGTTACTTTAGACCTTTCTTTACACTTAAATTCTCCCGCCAAAAAAAACTAATTGGCACCCTCACCTGGTTAATTAATTGGATTAAGTTTTCCCGCCAAAAACTTAGTATATAGAGCACTCTAACCTTGAACTTGTGCCCCCCTCCCCACTCTTCCTGCCCACCTCCCACACTTCTTCAACAACTCAGAGTATGTCAGTTACACTGTTCTCGGACTTCTTCGCACATGAAGCCACCACACTCTGCTACACATTAACATTTGGTTGATCGAGTGCAGTTTTTCCACCACTTAGACTTTAGAATAATCTCTCGCTCTCCTGGTTGGTCAATGCACTAAGTGTACTCCCCGGGGGATGTCTTTTCGGAGACATTGATGCTTCGACACATCAGTATGCCAGTGCAATTGAACTGACCAGGAGAGCCGGAGATTATTCTTAAGTCTAACGTGGTGGAAAAAACTGCACTCGATCAACCAAGT